CTGATATAAGATATTATAATAAAATAAAGATAATTAATAACAAAATAAATAAAAGTAGTTTTCTTAATAGATTTGAGTCTGTAAGCACGGTTAAGTGGCCCAATAATTTTGGATTGGGTAGGTACATAAGTCCCCCAAGCTCGGAGAACGAAGACTGAGCGAGTTTTTTAGCTTGAAAGGACGACCTCTTAATGGACGACCTTAATAAAATATTAGGAATTTGAAGAGACGTTATTTTTTAAAAAACTTACTTTCTTGTTTTCCATTTTTCACATTTCTCTCATTTTCACATTTTTCACATTTCTCTCATTTTCACATTTCTCTTCTTTTTTAGGCTTCTCTTCCCTCGTTTTGCTTGGACATTCCTTCATCTTTGAGTCTTCCTTATGTGTATCCAATGTATTAATAGGTAAGTTCTTGATACTTCTATATTATGTCCGATTTAAATTCTAGCAAACTTGATGTTTGTATATGTGAGAAAGATGTGAACCACTTTAGGGTTGACAAATAGTTCTGATGAGGAACGCACCCTTTCTGTGTCTATAAAAAATGTTTCGGTGATGGGGGCTACCAGAATTACTGGTGAAGTTTCTTTAGAGAGGATACAAACCAATCATTTCCAACCTAAGAGGAAAACCCCCTCTAATCCTGTCAAGAAGACATGTAATGCATCTTAGAATAGGGGTAATCGTAAAGATCATCCGCACATTAGTTCCCCCAAATATTCTTGGGCTTTTGATGTTGTAGATTCTTATATTTATGAGTTTTTATTTGTTCTTGGTTTTTGTCAATACATCAATAGCTTCACATTATAATGTAGAGTTATTGGTAACAGAGCATTGTTCGCCTTTGGACTGAGTATATCAGAGTGGTTTGGATGAGTTCTTTTTTGTCTATGAGTGTTGGTTTAAAGATTTGGATATAAGCCTCCCCTTTAGCGACTTTGAATGCGCCATGTCAACCGAGTTAAATGTATCACCTACCCAACTTCATCCCAATAGTTGGGTTTTTCTCAAGGCCTTTCAGATTTTGTGTTCTCTGTTGATTATTGAGTCCACTATAAACAAATTTCTATATTTTTATCAAGTGAAGTATGGTAGTGAGATTGGTTAGATATCCTTGAACGGTGCTTAGTATGATGGTATTTTCACCCAATCGTTCAAGGAATTTAAGTCTCGATTTTTTCGAGTAAGGTTGATGGAAATATTCTCCCTCCTTCCACCATGGATGACGCCGAAAGCCTCACACCTTGAGCACCCAAGGTGAACCAAAATTCTTTCCCAAGTTTCTAAAGAAACTTGACACTAATTCCTTCTAGAAAGGTTCCTTGTTAGGAGAATAGGAGAAAAAAAATCTCCAAAGACACTTGAAAAGTCAATTTGGGGTATAAGCAAAATATGCAAGTTCCACACAAAAGTTTAGACTTCATTCCAAATGTGCCAAAAAAGCTACACAAGAGGTTATATTTATAGTGTTTTTCCTCTCATCCACTTCAAGAATTTAGAGATGTGAGACTTATTCTACTCTTATGTGAGGCACCAAAAATGGACTCTTAGAAGTCTCACATTCTTTTCTTCTATGCTTCCCTAAGAATTTATATATCATTTTGAACACAATGGGTTACAAGCACTTGTGTTGGTGCAGCCAATGATATCTCTTGTGGTCCTCCATCAAAGGTGCTCTCCATCTGACCCCTCAAAGAGCCTACTACGTTATCCCGACGATACTCCTCGCTTTTCATTGGTTTGGCAGCGAGCTCCACTTAAGTTGAATTCTCGACAGAACATTTATTGTCTTCTTTCGAGAAAGAAAATATTGAATTAATAAAACGACTTCCTTGTCCTATAAACTGTAGAGTCTTAACAAATGTTTCTTTGGTCGAGGATTCAACTTTTTATGTTTGTAGGTAGCTTTTGCTAGTTTTTTGCTTCAATGGGCTCATATTTCTACTTGCTTTTTGTGACCTGTATTTTTTGCAGAGGTCATGAGACCCAAGTTCGATTATAAAAATATGAGGGAAGAACTTGGTCACATACCGATTAGTCCTTGACTAAATCAGTCGGGGGTGTCAAAGCGTCAACGAGTAGTGCGATCATCTTCCCCTACTCCCTCAAAACCTGACTACGTGGACTTGGAGAACATTCTTGATGAACAGCCGCCCACAACACATCTTTCACTAGTTTCCAAGCTTTCTCCTGGTACTTTAGGCATTATTATTAGATACCAGGAGGGCCCTGTTTGGTTGGTCATGTGTCCACAACTTTTGATGTTGAGTCCTTGTGACATACATCTCTTATCGTCGATTAACTTCCTATCCTCCTCAATGTACATTCGCGGTTTGATTCCGACATCATAAATCATGTGAGTGTTGAAGGCAACTTAGAATCTGCTGTGGTGATGATGCTTCAATGTTTGTCTATAGTCCGTCATTTGAGGACGTCATTGACCTTGACTTGTGTCGGAACAAAGAGTGACTATGTTAAACTGTCAATTTAAATCTTATGAGGATGTAGGCCAAGGAAAACAAAACACTTACTTCTCGCGCTTTGAAAGTTGAGAATGACTTGCAAGCATATGTCGTTCAATGTAAGGAACTCGAAGATAAAATTACTATACTAGAAGATGAGTTATCTTAAGATAAGAGTCAACTGATTGAGTTGAAGAATACAATATTAGATCTCTTTATATAATATTCAAAATGTAATAATGAACTGAGATATAATAACTGATAGCCCATAAAATAATAACTAGTATAAGATATTATAACATAATAAAGATAATTAATAACAAAATAAATAAAAGTACTTTCTTTAATGGATTTGAATCGATAAGCACGATTAAGTGATCTAATAATTTTGATCGGATAGGTACAATATCTTATATGTATAATTTATTTTCCTTTTCTTAAATTTTTTTTTTGGGTGATAGATATAAATTATATATTTTTTATTTAACAATATATTTGAAAATTAAAATTTTTATTAATAATTAAATATAAATATATGAAAGAAAATGGATTATATATATATATATATAATTATATTTGGCTTTTTCACTAGAGTAGGTTAAAAATATTTCAATTTTACTAATATAGGTCAAATTTTTTAAAAATTTACGTCGTGTTACATTACACGATTTTATATAAAAAAATCGTGTAAGGAAAAACGATTTTAGGATTAAAAAACTTAAAATTATTTATTTTATTTATATTAATTATTATTTTATATTAAATATATTGATAATTTTTTTAAAGTTAAATTATGTTATATTATTTATTTCAAAATTAATAATATATATTTTTATAGTTTTTTTATAATTAAATTAATATTTTGGGATAAATATATTATTTAAAAAATTATAATTTATTTATTTTTTATATAAGTATATTTATATATATATATATATATATATATATATATATATTTTTAGAAGTTATAAAATATTATATTATTTATTATTTATTTATATTAATTATTATTTTATATAAACTGCGTATAAGTAGTATATAAATAATAAAGGTAATATATATACAATATTATTATTATTATTATAAAATTAAATAATATATATTTTAAATGATATATTTATTTAAAATATTAAATTATTTATTTATTTTATATTAAATTTTTAAATAATATATTTATCTAAATAATATTTATTATTAATTTTGAAATAAATGATATAATATAATTTAGATTTATTAATATATTTATTTTTTATTTAAAATATTTTTTTCTATTTCTATTATTTATAAAAGTTATATAAAATAATAATTAATATAAGTAAAATAAATAATTAATATAATATTTTATACTATAAATATATAATAATAAATAAATTATTATTTTTTTAAATAATATATTTATTTAATAAAATTAATTTAATTATTTAAAAAACAAAATCAAATTTGTATGAATTTAGTTATGTAGAATATAACTAAATACAACTTTAATTTTATAAAAAAAAATTACGTTAAATTCGGTATAGAAAACACGATTTTAGATTTTTTTATCACAAAATCGTTTTACGTTACACGATTTCTTTATTTAAAATGGTGTAACGTAACACGATTTAACCTATTTGATAAATTGTAAAAAATTTGACCATATCAGTAAAATTGAAATATTTTCAATCCATTTTGGTGAAAAAGCCAATTATTTTTCTATTATTTTATTATTATCATATTTTTATTGAATTTTGTGTTGCTTTTCATTAAATATAATTATTCCTTTTTAAATTAAATAATTTTATTATTTGATAACCGTTTTTCAAAAGTTATGTATAATAAGTTTTATGTAAATAAGATTTACTAAATTAATTTTCTATTTATAATATTTTAAAATAATTAATAAATCTTTAAACTTTATTTTATTCACTCTTATTCTTAAATTTAGTATCCTTATACAAGTTAAAGCTAGATATATATTAAAATATAAAAATATATTTGATATATTTTCTTTATTCAAATATTGATATCTTTTGATTGATTTTTATAATTTTAAGTATTTTCTAATATATAATAACAAAGTTATTTTAAAATGTTATAAATTTTAAATATATACACGGTAAATTTATTAAATTAGAACTACAAAATTTAATCATACAAGTATTTTAAAAAATATATGATAATTAAATTCTTACATAATATCTTAAAATTACGTCTTTTATTTTATATCTCAAAATAGTTTCTAATAACTCAATTTAATACATTTTTATACTCTATTCTTTTAGGAAATTTTCATGTTTTTTTTTAATTCAAATTCATATTTTTGAAGTTTAAAAGTCAAATTCATTAATATAAAATACAAAAACTTTGATTATGTTTAAACCAAAAAATCTATAGAAATAAAAAACTAGTTTTTCCTAAAAAAAATTGAATTTAAAAGGATTAGTTTTATTTTAACTCAAATTAATCGTCAAAATAACATTTTCACAGTTTCACGAAGCATCTCCTTTCGATTAACGTTCAAGGTTACGTCTGAATTTTCAGAGCCCCAAGAATGACTACAATGAACACGATCTCAACAGCACTGAACCTTGTAGATTCGAAGAAAGAGAATCTGAAGAAAGCTTTCGATGATCTCCAATCCCTTCTCTCTCCCCTTCCTCTCTCGTGGCCAGACCTGGATTCGCACTTCACCTCGCTCCATAACTCTCTTTCCGACCGCTTCCACCTCCTTCAATCCCAAACCCTAACCCTAACCCCAATTTCCGACCCACCTGCCCAAGCCTGTGCAGAAGCGAACTTTTCATCAAACCCTAACGACCCATCATCGAATCATGACGAATCTTCGCCCAGGGTGTCCCCCCAAAACGACGCCGTTCCGGGCTCGGTTACGCCTAGAAGCGAATTGGTCGTTCTTTGCGAGAAAATGGACAGTGTGGGGTTGAGGAACTACGTCAATGACCACTTTTTGGACAGGGCCAGGGTTCAGGCGGAGCTTCCCGGCGCATTTCACCACGCGCCGGACGCGGGGGTGATGGTTCTGGAAGCGTTGGAGGGGTTTCATGGAGAGGGTAGTGGTAGTGGATTGAAGGAATGCGAACTGAGGAAAATGAGGAAGAGTTGTATTGTGTTGTTGAAGCAATTCAGGGTTGCTGCTCTGAGTGTGAGTGCTGAGGCGAGTGTGAGAGCCATGAAGTTGGCCCAGGAATGGAAAGAGAGGTTGGTGGGTGATGATGACAATGTGTTTGGAGCTTTGGGGCTTTTGCATTTGATTGCTGCATTTGGTCTGGTCTCTGAATTCAGCTTGGACGAGCTTGTGGACTTTTCCGTGGCGGCCCCCACCAATGAGGAGTTCCCAGAGCTGTGCCGGGCGGTCGGGTTGGTGGAGAAAGTTCCCGGTAAGGATGTTGGTTTTTTGTATGAGTTGATGGTGTTTGACATTTTAATTGCTTGGAGGAGGATGCCATTGATGTCTTGTTGTTGGAGTTTGGTGTTTTAAAATAGTTGTGCTTGAGAATATATTTTGAAATAGAGATGATTCTTGGACATTAGTTTTGTGTACATGTCTCACATTGGGCTATTAGAACAATTGTGTGAATGAGAGTAATGAACTTGCTTTGTATGTGCAAGTAACGCGTCCCAAATTGAAAGATTCTGCAAAAGAAATGATGAAGACAGGAAAAATGTGTTTGGTGAAAACAATATGACATTTTTTTAATTACTAGTTACAAAGTTGTATGGGGTTAAATACGGAAAAGAAAGACACTAGAGATGTTATTTTTATTGTGAGCTAAGTGAAGTTTGTAAATCCGCTTTTTATCTAGGAAGAGCAAGTAAAATTCCCCTTGGAAATTCAATAATTCAATAATGTTTTTGTATGCGTAACTAAAACTTTTATATGTAACCCTTTAAAATAGTTGGCAAGAGATGGTCTGTGGAGTGTACCTCCTCCCTTTACTGCAAATAATACTGCAGACTTGGTTAATCATTGGAATCTTCCACTACCACTGACTGTTTGCAGTGTTAGCAACGTTTGATGATGATCCAGGGAAAGTTTCCATGACTCTCCCTGATGATGAAAAACGATGTGTAATTGAAGTATAAATGAATGAGAGAAGAGTGAGAATGCAAAATTAAGTATAATTAATTGGTAATTTTTTATTTATACATTAATGTAAAATTACTTTTTTTCAGTCTTTATTAAATTTGTTTGTTTCCAACTTGAGTCATTTTTCTCCATTTGTTGGAGAAATACATGCTTAATTTATAGTGTTACCCTCTCAAGTAGTTTCATTGGTAAGTTTATACTTGTTTGTGGTTTGCAGATATTGTTCAGAAACTTATAGATAAGGACAAACATATTCCAGCTGTCAAGTATATTCTTGAGTTTAATCTTGCTGATAAGATTCCACCTGTTCCTGTTTTGAAAGCTTGTGTGGATGAAGCTAAGCAACTTGCTAAAAAACTTTCGGAGGAAGGAAAGCCATCTGTAAGCATGTTTCCTTGATTATTAACCCAATGCATGTGCCCAAACAATAGAACCCTATATTTATTGAGGTATTTTTGCAGAGTGAGAGTACCGCTAGAGAAATTCATACACTGAAATTGGTGATCAAGATTATTGAGAATTATAAGCTTGAATCTGAATATCTACGAGCTAGCCTTGAGCAGCGCATAGAGCAATTAAAGAAGCAGAAGACTAATAATAAACGTCCTGCACCAGCTCCTGCTGCAAAGGCTCAGCATCAACAACAACACAGGAATATGCAGAAGCAGCAGCAAACTGGGATCAAGCATCCTCGATCATCTGCTCCAATTGCTTCTGCAGCTGTCTTCAAGAATGTCAATAATGTCAATTCGGTAATGCACCACTACCAGCAACCCCTTGTCCATCCATCAGGTTTGTTTCCAGAGCATCTAAATCCCTATGTGAGCTTGCCAGCCATGCCATTTGGCATGACGGCTTCTACCCCAAACTTTCCTCCTTATGCAGGTCCTTCAGCTGGACCTTATGGCCATGATGGTGTCCCAATGGGTCCCAGTGGCAACCCCAATCTAGGTGGTTCTCATCTAAGCTCATCAGCGCCACATGTGCCAACTGGTGGTTATTATGAAAGAACCTCTACTTATGGTGGTACGGGTCTGCAACATTATTACCAAGCATCTCATTATCCTCAATAGATCAATAAATCAGTTATTTTGTCAGTACTGAACTGGAGGGTTGATATTCAAGTGTTTACACCCAGACTGTTTAGTAATCACAAGCTAGCTTGCAACCTTACTTCATTGACATAGGACAAGTAGATTCAGTAATTAAGAATTGTGAGGGATTGTTAAGTGTCACAATTTTCAATTACTCGAATCACTCTGTAATTGTATCTATAGAATTACTTGTAGGTTAATCATGGACATGGCCCATGGATCTTCTCATTTCACTTTCTAGCTTCCCCATTTCCTAGGCTTTTGTTGTTTTAAGCAAAGGGAATTGAACAGGATTTGGAGACACAAAATTATCTGGAATAGAATCTTAATGTCTCAAGTGAGAATGATGACTTGTTAAACAAGTCTACTTTTATTCATGTGATTATACGGGTGTTTTGTATGTCTGGTAACATCAAATCATATCTTACTAGTACTAGGCGGGTCTGTTACATGGATCAGTAAGCAATGGGTTTTATTAACTATCGAATTTTCAATAATTTCATATAAATCAAAATCTTTTATCAAAGGATTTTCGTGATATGGTGTCAAGTTTTATTCTACAATTGTAATTGATTTTCTGTTCCATATCATAAAAGATTAAAAAAGGTTTAAAATTGGTTTTTGGCAGCTGCCTAATTCAACCCTGCTCTTTTTTATCCAGACATGAAATTGGGGATATATGAAGTTTGATAGAAGCTGGCAATATTTTTTGTCCTGGTCTTGAAAGTTGAAGGCAGGCCATAATATTTAGAGTTCTTTATTATTAATCTTGTGACAAATATAAACTGGATGAGTTTGTTCTATCCAGTGTTTTAAAGCTAGGTTTTAGTCTGGTCGTTTGGAACCGGTAACAGAATTCATCTGACTCAAATTTGTACCGCTTAGCTTTGTCGTCATCAAACCTGATGCAACCCTGAAACCCTGAGGCAGCTGCGTGAAAACATTCAACTAAGGCCATATAGTTACTTGGATAATAGGGGCGAAAAGTAATATTCCTATGGACATATTTTAATTATTAATTATTTGCTACTTAGATGAATTCATGGGATTCAAACAGTGACCCGTGAATTCGAGTAGTGACTTAGTGACCCTGCACCTTGGTCAAATTGACAACCAGACTGATTTTTTTGATACACTGGCTCTGTCAAAATCTCACTGTTTTTAATGTGAAAGGTTTTAATGCAAAAACATTGAAGCTCTACGATTAGGCTTTGGAGAATTGTTTAATTCATAATGCACAATCCAAATTGGATGACAAAGGCCTGATGTATCTTGTCATTTTCCATCTCTTATATCTCTCAATTCATGTGCTTATTTTCCTTTCATCATTGGTCTTGCATATGGAATATTCTTACAAGATTTATAAGTAGTACAGTGCAGTTTCTCATATCTGGTTTCTAATGTTTTCTCTGTTTTGGCCATTTGATAGTCTTGTTGCTCTTGTATAAAATTGAAAGGCAATTTGACATTATATATAATTGCATTTGTATTGTAATTTCCTGTATCACTTATTCAATTCACAACTTTTAATGACGAAGGGTCCTTGTTATGAATGGTGGTTTGTATATGTATGAACTACATGTAGTTGGATCAAGATATGTTTGCTGTTTTTTTATTTTTGGGTAAAACACTTCATACATGTTTTGGTCTACAATTTTGAGCTCTCTTTTTTGTGAAAAGCAACCCAAATTGGGACATGTGTGGGTTCCCATCGGTCATAAATTGCTAAACCATAGGCTGGCTGACACCCTTGATTTTGAATCCAGGGGAAGTGATATGACAAGGTAGAAAAATAACTAAATATTATTGTGAAGCTTGTAAAAAGGAAAAAGAACATCAATGATATAAAATAGAGAAAATGTTCCTATCTATGTTTGATAAGAGTGATTATGATTACTTATGAAAGTGGGTATTTTGGTACTTATTTTCTAGGGTTTAACCACTGTGCACTTTCAGTGTAAAAAATTTTAAACTGCCAAATTAATTTAAAATTATGATCGATTAGGTTTTTTAAAGTATTTATTTATTGTTAAAAAAATATAATTATCATATGTTATTTGTGATAAAAGGGTCTGTTTGGACAAATTTATTTATAAGGGCTTCTAGAATAAACAATTAGAAGAAAAAAAATTTCCTCACTGGTTAAAATAACTTATGTAATTTTTTTTTCTGGAAAAACTATATGGGAGAATTTAAAAATTAGTTTATGTATAAATTAGTTTTATATATTTTTTTCTAGAAATTCTGACGAAGAAGTTTGTTTAAACATATTTTAAATGATTGTGTAATTTCTTTTTTCAAATATATTCTAAATGATTGTGTAAATTCTTTTTTCAAATATATTCTAAATGATTGTGCAAAAGATTAGAGTCTGTGCATAAATTATTTACTTTTTTCTATAAGAATACTACAAGTGTGGTGTTGCTATCAATATCAACACAAGTTGTTTGTTTTAGACCTATGGTTAAGTTATAATCATTTGAGGAGCTTCTAACTAGAGGAAGTTAGTAGCAGCAGATATATTAAAATATATTACTTAAGTTTTTCACTGCTCAACAAAGTTAAATTTATTGGAGAAACATGTTACTGTTCTACCTTTGAAGTGATTTGTTACCTAGGAAAGGATTTGTATGTATCACTACTTGTTGTTGTATAGATTGTGCCTCTCACCTTTTCAAAAACCCCATAACCCTTTTGCATGAGTTTTAGTAATGTGGAAATGCTTATTCCACATGATCATTGTGACGTATTCTCAATGTGTTCAACAAATTTTTTGCTAGTGAAAGCTGAAAATTCTATTCATTCACAAGAAAATAGACAATTCATCTGTTGAAAAATGAATGGCTTACCACCAACTTGTTTATGTATTTGATGTGATTAGACAATACCCTACTATTCACTATGACAACATATGATAATAAATAAAGAATGCATTTATGATATCTTAGAAATGTATTGGGACCAAGCATGCATTCATGGGGACAATCTTCCTTTACACTCAATACATAGAGGCATACAATTAGGAAAGAAAATTTGACCATTATGACTTATCTAAAATGTTTCACTCTCTTAATAATGTATTGCCATGTTAGTGGATCAAATCGCATCTAGTACTCATCTTCTTGGATAAAGGAAGAATGTGGAGTCGTTCAGAAATTTATCCTGTGAGAAAAGATGTGCTGATATATTCATAGGCAACATTATTGAGTTTTTGAAATTCAGTTTTACCTAACTGGTTGAAGATGATTAAACTATTATATATATAAAAAAAGGTTAGTATATTTATGATTAGATTTTATTATATTAAAATACAATGTGGAATTGAACTTAGTCTTCTGAAGAAAAATCTCAGTTTTCAAATTTTCTGGATAATAAGTACTGTTTTTATCATTTCATAACACAGACATCAAATTACTGGAGCAAAAAATCCATTGAAATGATAATTTAATTGATCTTATCGTGCTCATAAACTTTTAAAACAAGACAATTTGAAGGTAGTGTAGCACTCAAATGATTAGTGATTCATGCTTTAAGTTTATTAAATGCTAATACAGAGAAGACTAGAGGAAGAATGGAGGCAAGCATGGATAAAATATACAATGTATCATGCATTGATTGTGACATATTTTAATACTAGTATAATTCATCAGGGGAGAAAAAAAAAATATTAAAAATATTCCTTAAACAATATCTAAAAATTTAAATATTAAAAAAAAAATAACTCAAGACAAATTTTACTAAAAATAAGAACATCTTATGACAAAAATATTAATTTTTAATTAAATTGATAAAATTTTTACACTAAAAACATAGTTAAAAATATTAATAAAAAATTGGAAAAAGGAAGTTAAAGTATTACCAACTACTTCTGGAGGAGTCCTATATATTCGATTTGGTGCTTTATTTTTGCCTAATCATAGACATAAGAAAGTACAATTTTTTTTTTTAATTACTCTTTTGGGTACCATAGCTTACCCTTTCCTAGACCTTGTTGTATAAAAGCCTATAAACGCTATATAAGTGGAGTGGACCAAAAATTATCCATAAAATATCTTCTTAACCACTTTTAACAACTTGCTATTTTCTCCATGATCAATATTTGTAAGTGACTCAAAAGGGTGATGAAACCAACATATTAACTCACCCTCTTTCCAATTTTTGTATGGCATGTCCATGGAAACTGGAAACATTCTCCCTATTTATTGTGACTTAAGGTTGAACTAATACCAGATTTGGATAAAAAGTTGCCCGATTTAAAAGCAATAAAAATTGTAGTTAATGTCCAAAGTCACAACTTCATTTTTACTTTCTCAACCCCACCAAAAGCCTCACTTTGTGATCTAGTTTTTGGTTCAATCAATTTAACCCACTTGCAACTTCACTCATTCCTCACTTGTATGTAACACTTATTAAACAAATGATTGCCGCCAATAATATAGCTTGCTTGATTTGATTTATAGTTCACAGAACAAAGTTCAAATAATCTAGACAACCAATATAAAAATTATATGAACAAATTATTAATTTGGTCCTCTAAAAACTATTTTCTTTGTTAAGTAGAGTAACTAGTTCTTCCATTATGCAATATCCATTAGGTTAATCTTTTAATATGTTGGAGGATTACTCGTGCATTTTCTTATAATTCATTAATCAAATAATTTTATTTTATTTTTTTACCATGATCTTAAAAACATTCAAGATATAAAGAAATAGCAAAAAAAACAACAATCATGCATCTAAGATCTGATTATTTGAGCCTGACCCTCCTACCCATGGTGATAGAATGATTTGAATCTATCCCTTTTTTGGAACCAATTTTGGTGTGGCCTTAACTTCAAACTTGTGAAAGGGATTTGATTTGCTGTTATGCACCAATCACTCAAACTCTTTTTGTGTGGTAAAGAGTAACATAGAGTTGGTACTTGGCATAGACACCACTTTTCCCTTTCAAATCTTACCTAGCTCAACAAAATCACACAATCAAACAAAACAATTCTTTATTTCTCCACTTTTAATAACAAAATAATCAAAAGAATAAAAGAAAAGATAAAGAACCATTTTGTTATGAAATCTTTGTCCAATAGTGAAACCATTCCTTGACAAAATCATCCACCACATTACTTTTTTAAAAGTCTAAAAGTTCAATCCACCCAAACCCTTTTTCCTTCTCTCTCATATCAAACTATCATTACCAAATTAAAAACGCTACACTTTCTCTCTTTTTTAAATAATTAAATCTATATCACTTTTATCAGTTCATGCTTTTTTCGTCTGTTCTAGTAATATAACGGTAGTTTTTCACCATAATTTTGTCACTTGAATTAACTATGGAGTAATACAAAATTTTGTTTTTCCTAAATAAAGTCTTGGAAATAAAGAGAACCAACATGTTCAAGATGATTTTTTTTTAATAAAAGATATGATTGTAACGATAATCACATCAATTTTTTTTTAAATCTAAATTTCTGCTCTGTTTAATTTTATTTATCTGTTTGGAAGAAAAGTATTATTTATTTTTATCTGCTCATTTAAAAAATCCAAAAAATATTAATTATTACTTTTATACTTTCACACTTATGAAAAATTACAAAAGTTTAATAAACATAACCATCAATTGTATAATTTAGTTACATGACTATTTTTAGAATAAAAAATGATTTTGTGATATTATTAATATTTATTGATTTTAATTAATGATTTATTTTTAAAATAAAGAACAAGATACAATAATAAGTCTCATGCATGTGTTGTTTATAAACTTCTGATGACCATGAAATAATATATTATACTTGACTTGGATTAAAAATCTCCATTTGATAAATTTATTAATTTTTATAAGAATAGTTATGCTAACAGTTATATTAGAAATGATTTTTAGTTGTTTTGTAAAAAAAAACTTAACAATTATAATTACGATTAACATTAATTTATTATGATTTATGATATATATTATTATTTTTTTAAATAATGTGAAAATATATAAAATTATAAATATCATAAGTAATTATATTTGATATTATATATATATATATATTATTATTAATATATATTTATATTTGACATTTTTATAATATATTTTTTAATAATTATTTTATTAACATATATTTAATAATTTTATGAAAAAGCTGATAACAATAACTCTAATTAAACTATAAAAATATTAATTTTGTTTAATTTAAATTCTTTTAAAAATTAAAATAGAATTTAACAGAGTCACATGTGATTGGTTAACCAAGCAAATAGCTAAAATCACTGAAGAGGAAGAGAAGGAGGTAGTAGCATACTTAATAGAAGCACACTCCATGAGATTTTGAGAGAGAAAGAAGAGAAAAAGATGAAAAGAGAAGAAAAAGTGCAGAGAAAAGGTTTTAATATGACACACAACACAGTTCAATTTGAGATCCATTCCTACAACAAGTCAAGTTGGTCTCAGTCTTCCTCTCAGAGACATACATACCCTTCACATTAAATGAGCCTAATGACCCTTTTGCCCTTCCATATCTGCCTCCATTTCCTTCTCCTTTGACTCAACTCTTCTCTCCCCCTCTCTCTCAAAGACGCACTTTTCCCTCTACACTGCAATGGACGCCGAGGAAGCCCACTCCGACAATCTGAATCGACCCAGGTCGAGACCCAATTCCGCCGCGGATGCTGCTCCGGCCGGCGGTGGTGCAAGGTACAAGCTCATGTCTCCGGCGAAGCTCCCGATCTCGCGCTCGCAGTGCGTGACGATTCCGCCGGGGCTCAGTCCCACGTCATTTCTTGAGTCGCCAGTGCTGCTCTCCAACATGAAGGTTGGTTAGTGATGAATGCATTCGCCTTTTCAATTTCTAGGGTTTCTGCTTTTTGAGGCTGGGTTTGAGGCTCGATTTTGATCCGTTCAATTGCTCGGGAAAAGAATAAAAGGAGAATGGGTGTGTGAATTCGTTGGCAAAATTTTATTTTGATTTTTCGTTGTTTTTATTTATTTATTTATTTATTTATTTTCAGTTGAACTTGGTCAAGGGTGTGTTTAAATGTTTTTACTTGACCTGAGTGAGTTGAAGTCCACACAGTGTGAGTGGCGTATGAAAAATTTGTTCTTTTTAGTGTGATTTTTCATGTAAATGCCAAGGGCATCAAAATGGGGCATATGGGGCAGTGTTATGCTTTGGATGGAATATTTTAAAAAATGACGTGATTTAAGTGTTGATGAATGGAAGATGCTGTTTGTTTCACGAAAAATTCGATGTCAGTGAGTGACAGAGGGAGTATATGTGCTTATTTTATCTGGTGGCTGAGGCTAATTTTGTTTTGCGTTTATTATTTAATTTAATTTTTTGTAATTAGGGTTGGCTTCTTTTGTGGTTGATCTTTTTCACTCGATAGATTTTGTTATTTGTGTTGGGACCCCGAGATTCTGATGCTTGCTCGTATTGAATTCTGTATTTTCCACTTTATGCTCAATACGGTGTTGTGTTGAAATAAGGCTTTCTCTTAGGATCGCTCAACATTCTTATTATTTTCTAGTGTTGTTTTTTCACATACTGAATCTTCCTTTGCTGTCGGTGCTTCTCCTTTTTGTTTTCAACTGTGTTGCATGGTAGGTTTTGCAGGAAATACTTTTCTTTTTCCCTATTTATGTGTGTGGAACAAAAGAATAAATGCATTATCAAGGGTTAGTGGATCCATTTTAGTTCTGTATGGCATGACATTGGAGTAGTATGAGGTCTTCAGATAGATTGTTGGTCAAGATTTGTAATTTTGTGAAAGTAAAAAAAATGCATCAAATATTTGTAAAATCTTGATGTAACAGTGTGGGTGGTCCTAATCTGTGCATAATGCTGTGCAAGATTAATGTGGTAGTGGCGTTTGTGAGCTGAGTTTATATAACTTCCACATGTCCTGATGCGCTGGGCTATTTGGTATAGACTCTGATTGAACAACATGCAATGTTATCCTGAAGAGAAAGTCATGAGCTTTGCATTTGCTCAATTGTAATTGAGTCTTTCTGCATGAGTAGCCGATAAATCTATTGGATTGCATGGTTAACACTGATGATTGTGTATGCACTTTCTTTCTGTTACTATTCATGGTTGATTTACTACTGTGTATTCTGAAACTTCCTGTTATTTTGTCACTTTCTTTTTCTGTCTGTTGCTCTGAGAAATTAAAACTTTATAGTGTGTATGTTTTTATGTTTGATTTTATGATTCTTTTAGTAATTGCCTACTGAAATTATATAACAATTTCTCTCATACCTTGCAGGTGGAACCTTCACCGACGACAGGGTCCCTTTCTATGCTTCATCAAACAGCTCATGGTTCTTTGACTTCTGCTGTATCTGCTTCATTTCCTGTAACCACTGTATGCTTCAATACCACCACTGTTGATGACCGAAAACCCAGCTTCTTTGAGTTTAAACCACATTGTAGATCAAATATGGTAATGAATTAGTTTATGCTTCTACTTGTAAAATTGAAGAATATAAACTTTAAACTAAGGTGGAAAAATGTAACTTTTGACATTGATGTTTTCTCCTTACTTATATGTGTACTAAGTTAAAGGTAGGGTAATAAGTTAAATATATTGCAACGTTAACTGGAACCAGATTTGGTTGTCATGTTTCTTGTTTTTGTTAATTTTGCTTTGTAGATTACTAGTTGCATGGTACTTACACATTGCTATTCACTTATTTAAGGTTCCTGCAGACCCTGACAACCATGTAAGTGAAAAATCTACTCAAATAGATGGTCAAGGAAAAGCTCAACCTTTTGATTCATCACCATTAGTAAAAAATGAGATAGCAGTCCCTTCTAATGAATTAAGTCTATCATCACCTGTTCAAATGGTTAACTCGGGAGCTAATGCCCGGGTTGAAGGTGATTTGGATGAACTGAACCCTAGAAGCAACATATCGACTGGGCTTCAAGCATCACAAGTTGACAATAGAGGTAGTGGACTTGTTGCAGCTGAGAGAGTATCTGATGATGGATACAACTGGAGAAAGTATGGGCAAAAACATGTTAAAGGAAGTGAATTTCCACGCAGTTATTACAAATGTACACATCCTAACTGTGAAGTTAAGAAACTATTTGAACGCTCTCATGAGGGGCAAATCACTGAGATAATTTACAAGGGAACACATGATCATCCAAAACCTCAACCAAACCGCCGTTACTCAACTGGAACGATCATTACTATGCAAGAAGAGAGATCTGATAAAGCTTCTTTGACTAGCCGAGATGGTAATACCTGCTAAATGCTTCTTATTGATGCCATTTTATTCCTACTTATCGGAACCAAATAACATGGCTTTCTTTTTCTCCTAATTCTTGAATTGCAGACAGAGGATCCAATATATGTGGCCAGATGTCTCACCCAGCCGAGCCTGACAGTACTCCTGAGCTATCACCTGTAGCAACAACTGATGGTGATCCAGAGGGTACAGGATTTTTGTCAAACCGGAACAGTGATGAGGTTGATGACGATGATCCCTTCTCAAAGCGAAGGTGTGCCAGTTTAGGCCAAACCACTATGTTTATTTCTGCTACTCATGTATTTTTGCTGATGGCCAGAAGTTTTTTTCTTTGAGCAGAAAAATGGAGCTTGCAAATGCTGACATTACTCCTGTAGTTAAGCCTATCAGGGAGCCTCGGGTTGTTGTACAAACGCTGAGTGAGGTTGATATATTGGATGATGGTTACCGCTGGCGCAAGTATGGGCAGAAGGTGGTGAGAGGCAATCCTAACCCTAGGTACATCCTAACATTGATGACTATAACAACATAAGCAAACTATATGTAATCAAATTTAAATTTGAATGTGCATTCTTCATTAAATGCTTTTTGGCATGTATAATAATAAACTATTTCAGTCTTATACCTACTGTAAGGAAGGCTGAGACCTCATCCTCATTCACAGAAGTGGTGTATTATAAGATATTCTAGAAAAAGAGTATAGTTGCTATAATATATTATGAAATGATGTATATTCTAAATTCTGAGTCTTAAACTTATACAAAGTCATATTCCAAAGCAGTTTTAGAAATTCATTCAGGAGATTCCGTCATCCTCTTTCTCAATCATCGAATATGAATAATGGCAAAGTTACGGGAGGTATAGGATGTTGATGTCAGGGATATTGATATTATGTACCAGCATTATTTTACATTAAGGAAAGGTAGTGATGGTGTGTCAAATACGAACTGTAATGATCAAATATATTATGTTAATGGAAGCTAGTTGATGTAAGAGCATTATTGCTAAGAATGTGCAATGTGTTCATGTGACAGTAAATTGTTAGGTACTTAGATATCAAGAAAGTGTAGAGAGCTATGTGTTACTCCCATGCTCCGAGAGGAAAATATATCAATGTAAGCATGGTCTCGTTGTATAGACTACTCGCAAGTTAAAAGGTAAATGAGTGGAAAAGGAGGGGCAGTAAGATATCCACTGATTTGCTTGATCCTAGATACAAGATTTATCTGTGTTGTAAAGTTTGTTCTTTCACTGTATGCTAACATGTTAGTCAAATATTGTAGTATTCTAGGTGAAGATATTGGAACTGATATATTAGCTATTGTTTTGTCATTGTCTGAAAACCTGCATTCCTTATAAGCATGTACCCACTTTATATTTTGAGGATTCCCTTTTAGTATTTATTTCCTTGGCTGACCCAAAACAATGACATACCGGCATAACTTTTGCTTAGACAACCATCTGTTTGAACTGAAAAATGCTTGAAATGGATTTTGTGTGCATAATATCTGGAATATAATTGGATCTTATTTCCATTGTAATTTAATCGGTGCTTTGGCATGAACTTCAAAGCATTAAATGTAAATAAAATGTGTACATGATGAAGTTGGCTGGCCTCTTTTAGTAAGATCCTTACATTTTTTTGTGTTTGACGACAGTGTGATTCTTAATTTCATATTTATGGCTAACCTTGTTTCTTATGAAACTCACTCTATTTTCAGGAGTTATTACAAATGCACAAACACGGGTTGCCCCGTTAGAAAACATGTGGAGAGGGCATCTCATGATCCGAAAGCTGTGATAACCACATATGAGGGGAAACACAATCATGATGTACCAACTGCAAGGAATAATAGTTGCCATGACATTGCAGGACCAGCAAGTGCTGCTGGTGGACAGACAAGAATTAGGCCGGAAGAAAGTGATACCATCAGCCTTGACCTTGGTATGGGAATTAGCCCTTCCGCGGAAAACACACCAAACAGTCAAGGGAGAATGATGATTTCCGAATTTGGGGACAGCCAAGCTCACACCAGCAATCCCAATTTCAAGTTTGTCCATACTTCGACGGCGCCGGTGTACTTTCTAAATAACAACTCTAACTCATATGGCTCTAGAGAAAATCCAAGTGATAGTACATCTTTAAACCATTCTGCTTATCCCTGCCCTCAGAACATGGGAAGAATACTAATGGGTCCATAAAATTGTTTGCACACACGAATAAAAAGAAATTCTGAGTTCCATTTTGGTTTTTCTTTTTGGCGGGTAAAGTTTTAAAGGCATAGCTCCTCATTTTCTCTTTGGAACTTCTGATAGTTCTTTTATGTATATCCTTATATGTTGAGAGCTTCTCTTTAGTAGAATTAGTAGTAGCTGTGCCCCTTCAGGTTGACTCTTAAATCTAATTTCTGTTTGTATAATTATATACAGATTCTTCTGTACAAATATGAAGCTTATACCAAAGTCGCTTCAACAAAAGCCCTTGTAAAAGTGTGAGTTCAGCTATTTATAACATGTAACTTCTAGCTTGTTCCTAAACATTCTTGTTTTGTCCGTAGGATTACTGTAACATGGTAACAAGAGGTCCCCAGCCTTCATTACAACGCAAACATTCCCCACATGATAAAACAAGTTGTTTGTTATTAGTCAAATTCAAAGGAAGTCTCAAGACACGTGTAAACCAGTGGAATATGCACGTTTGATTTTTTCAGACTATTTTGTGCATGCTACGTAATGTGAAACCAGTACATGGGAGTTTTTGTACAGACGTTTCTAATTCAGAAGATACTCTCACTAGCTTTGGGCCATACCAGAAGTGGATTTTGTTATTTGAAAATGCAGATCCAAACATGGAATTATTAGAAGTTTGGCTTGATATTAAATGTATACATGTTTAGTATTATATTGATGAATTGATTTTAGGTTCTATCTTGATGCTTAATTGAAGTAATGTTGGATACCTTCTCGTTAGATAATTTCTTTTCTAGTTTCACAATTTAATATATTGAATCAAACTCAAATCCAACTTTAGATGTGATAAGTAGCACATTAATGCCACTGCAACTTTTTCTTTTCTTCTTTTCCACAAAAGGAAGAAAGAGTTTTTGATTGCAAAAAATACATGTAAATGTCAAAAACTATTCTTGATAACATAATTCCTAAGCTAAAAGACGTCACAACAAATCATTATTTTTGAGTTTTGTCTGTTTCTCAACATAAACAGTCAAATTCCTGCTGATGACGAAGAAAGTCAACTATATATCGATTACCCTGAATCTAGTAGATAAACGGCGATAATTCATTGTGTCTTATTATGGCTTTAAAAGGAATAGATAACAGCAATACTTGGTGACTCGTGTTCCTGGTTTCAAGCTCATGACATACTGCTTTTGTAACTAAAAGACATGAAATGTTTTGAAACTATATTTAAATCAACTGAAGCCAGGAACACAGTTGAAAACGGCACTCTAGTATTTTTCAATCACAGACAAAAGTAAACACATGTCTCTGACACAAGCCGGTGCTGTTTTGTTGTCTCCGGACAGCTTTTTACCGGACAACTAATTTGACTACGCCATTCCTTCGCCATAATAACATATAGCAAAGATATAGTTAAGTTTCAGAAAAAGGAGAACATGATTAGAGACAATAGAGTCAGTCAACGATCATGCAATGGAAAACTCTGGCTACCGTGCAGTTTTTCTATAGGCCAAACAACACGGTTTCACGTGAGCTTTCAGACCAATAAACCTCTCCTTTACTCGACACTTTTGATTAAAGCTAAAATTACTCATTTCAGATTTTACATGCATTCACACAGCTTATGAATCCTGTCAAGATCCATCTTGTAGTTGCCAATGCTAAATAATTCAATTGGATTCAAAGAAAAAGGAGTTTAGTGTACAAAATTACTAACAGAGTAAAGAATATAAGGATCTGTGAGGGTTTGTAATAGCTAATGCTGCGGTGGTACTGGTGAATATGAAGACTAAGATCCAACCCAGTTTATGAGAAATGCAATTAAGGATAGAAAGTGACACTGTAGTAAGAAATACCTGATCTATACTTTGTTTTGCTATTGATTTCAGCTTATTATATGTTTTGCAGTTATAAAATACATCTCAGAAAATTTCAGGGTATAAGTCTTTCTTGATATTACTTGTATTGCTGACACAAGATTAAGGAAGCTCTCTTACAAAACAGTAATTTGACTATGAAGTGAGGAGAAATTGCATAAAGGAGTTAAGGATGATACAAAGCCTAACTATAAGCCTGGAGTAACAAAAATGAACAAACTGTTGTAGGATTTTCATCTCCAAGCACAAGAGGCAATAAGAACTTGATTCTTCCAACCAAGAAATAGTGCACCATCTTTCTCTTCTAGAGTGTAGTGGCCATGGTAGCTCAGCAGAAGATCCTTGATTGAAGCATTAATAACAGAGTTCAGTGGATAAGGCGTAAATCCAGACATTGTGAAACGCATTCTCCACTTATTCAGAAGCTCGTGACGTTCAACTCTTTCTGCTCCTTCACATGCTATTAAGTTGACAACTTCACGAGCCAAACAATGCTGCTCCACATTAATCCTCTCTTTGTGCTCCCTTGGAAGAGCAGCATCAATAGAATCAAAAACAGAGAAGTAGTAGTTCATTGTCTCAACGAATCGCTGCAAGAATGGCGCGTGGTTGGTGTTAAATTCTTGCTCAACCAGAGTCACCACCTTAGGAGACAATTGCTTGGCCAATCTCAACAACCGATCACGATGATTGTGGCTGTTCACAGTTTCATCAGGCACATGGTGCAAGATAAGGGCAAAGTTCACTGCCACAGCTTCATAAGGGCGAAGTTCAAGGTCTTTAAGTTGCACTTGAGAAGCAGGTACTCTCACAGCATTGAACTCAAAGGGTACATTACATGACTGTGCAAGTGCTGATAACCTTTTTCCAACAATATCAAGGCCTCCTCCCCGGGCATAAGATGAAAAGGAGTCATCAACACCAGATATTCTGATCTTTGGTGGCCCTCCGGGACGGCGAGCAAGAGCCTGAATCAGGCTCACCCATTGAGTTCCCTGGGAAATCTGAAAGTCTATTATGTGGACTTCCCTTTCCTCCTTCAGTGCTTCAGCAATTGCTCCATTTGCTGACATGTACCCAAACTTGAAGTATGGACAAACTTCATAGAGTACATGCATGTATGAAAGTAGTTCATTACCAGTAGGCTCACTACATTTCAAGGATTTGTAGATTGTGCTTCCTGTAGCAGCCATCCTTGCAACAAGAGACTCCACAACATATGCTCCCAACCGTTGAATTGGATTGCCTGAAATGGAAACCATTTTACGCGACTCTGATATCATCCATTCAGTTGTCTCCATATCATTCACAGCCATTGCCTTTGCACAAGTATAAAGCATCTCTTTCAAATCCCCTCTAGACACCACATCCATTTTCTTCCACTTCTCAGCCTCTAACAAAAATGAATCAGCTTCTTCTGGCATTATGGGGCCATAGATATCTAGCATATCTGCATTAGTTCCCAGCATAGCACTTTCCAGCTCGTTTATCTTATGTGTCAGGTCATCAAGGTGAGTCAGGTAAGAATCATCCTCAGGTGAGCCACTAGCAATTTCAAGGGAATTCTGTGGCCTTAACACATATGAGTTTGACTCTAGCTTTGACAAAGGACTATTGTTTGACGAGAAACTGAGAGCAGGTGGAGAATTTTGGTAAGGGAAACTGTTACTTGTGGAAGCAGATTCAAGAGTGCAATATTGTTCTAATGTTTGGCCTGAAGAGTAATTGTCTATGTTCTCACTTGATGGTAAGCAGTATGACTCCAAATTTTCCACAGGCTCAACATAGAACCCACCAGAGCCATAAGAAATTTTATGATTCTGAGATGTTTGCATCGAGAACAAGCCAGCCGGTTCCAGATCTTGATATAGTCAACCTCCAAAAGATTTTGACACAAAAACGACTGAATTATTGACTCTACTCAAGCCTGTCAAGCATTATCCGCATTTTAATTGTATTGTACAGAAAAACTGACCTGTTCTGCAGAATGTCAAGAAAGCAGTTTAGAAAAATATGATAGTTAACAAAGATAACTAAAACTAAAAAAGAAAAACAAAGACACAATATATTGACTCTGATTGAAGAAGGTGATATAGTTTGCCTAAATATGCCATTCCTTGAGGTTAGGTGTAACTGTGTAAGTGATGTATTATTCACATAAAGGTCATAAACTGGTAACATAGTAAGAATTAAGATGAAATTTTCATTAAAAGATTTCTAGCATTTCAAAATCAGAAGAGTAAGCTTCTTGACGACACAATCTATATTTCCCAAATTCGTAATAAGCTATTAAAATAAACAGCACACCAAAAAAGACAGTGTACAAGTCTAATTGAATATTAAATTTGATATGTGGTTTGGAACACCTACTACTACTAGAAGCAAGACCCTTTTATTTTTCTTCTTTATTTGTCAATTGGTATACATCGCTTTCAATTAAAGGTAAGCACAAAGGATTAGCTATACTGTAAAACACCAAACGGGCAATTAGGAAAATCAATTGGTATTCTGGGTTAGACTCAATCCTGAGAACATATTCTAAACCTTGAACTCAATGAATACATCAAGAAATTTTTATATCAAACATTTTAAAACCTTTCCTTGGTTAGACACCACCATCAAAAAGTATGCCTTCAAATCCATACTCAAACACACTATAAAACCCAGATAAGAAGCTTTCCCCCAACAACAATAACAACTGAAACAAAGCAAAAAAGAAAAACAAATATAAACCAGAAAAATGAGAAAATCACTTCCGAAAGTTAAACATGTCATGGCTATCAATCAACTCCAACAACAACCCTTTTTCACACACTCAATAAGAACAACCATAGAATAAGAAAAGTTAATACTTTTCCCTCCGGTAACTGAAAAAAGCTTCAGCACCATCATCAACATAGCAAGCACAGACACTGCATGATAGCAATCAATCACCCAAATCAGGACAAGGAGCTGTTCAATAATTTCAGAGAGTCTCACCTCGGCAAAAAGCCTGATCTGAAGCAAGAATCACTCAGAACCACTGATACCCCAGTTGGATTTGAAGCTCAAAAATGAGAATTTATCATGCACATACTCATAGGTGTCACACAGAGAGATTTTGTTTGAAGTCAGAGATTATATCTTGGAACACATGGCAAGTCACAAAGGTTGTTGTTGGGTGCTATGGTCCCTGTGAACTCTGAATTGCAGTTTTGCCATTTTATATGGACGCCAACATAGAAAGTCTCCTCTTGCGAAAAATTACTTTTTTGACGCTAACATCGCACTTAATTCACGAAGACTTTTATTAATTTGTCATGTTATCAGAATCCTGTTTATAAATTAAGCTTTGTTAACATTTCTTTGTTTTGTTTCTAGTCTCTTCAATTATTCTCGACAAATTTTGGACTTCTAATCTAATACTAAATTTATATTCATCAATTTTAATATCAACGTTTTCAAACGTTTTGTGACGAAGAGGGTGATCATTACATAGACATTTTAATTAAAAAAAGTTTTGATATTCTTCTATCTTTTAGGATAAGAAAGAGACAAGCGTACATTTTATTTATTTTATTTTTATTTTGTAATTGATTCCACATCGTTTTAGTTACATTAATTCTTATTAAAGTCTGGAATTAACAGTTACAGGGTTAAATATAAATGCATATTAAGTGTTTTAGTTCAATTTTTTTTCCAAGAAAAAATTCACCTTTATTTGGAAGTAATAAGGGAAAATCATTCTCAATTCTTTCCTTAGTATTTAACATGTTCAATTCTCATGTTTTTGTCTATCCCCTTTATTTGCGTATACTAAGACCAGTGCAAAGGTGGAATAGAAGAAAGTTCAAAAAAGTATTAAAAATATACAAAATTAAAAAATATAACCATTACTTATTCTTTATATATTAATAAAGAAGAGATTGAAGGTTCTTATTTGAATAAAAAAATAATTTATAAACATGTACTTTTTAAACACTATTTTTTATTATAATTTCACTGTTTCAAAATAAAACTAAATGCCTCTAAACATGCAAATAAAAAATAAACATAAATTACTTATAATCTTTTTAATACTCAAATTATAACTTATATTAAATATCAACATCATCATTATAAATATAATTATTAAAAACATAAATTTTCAAGTTTTACACTTAAGTTTTTATATAAACAAACTCTCCATTTTCAATGATCACTACCATTTTATATATTCAATAAATTTGACTTTCAAAAAAGTTACAATTAAATCAAAACATATACAAACTACCTTTTATAAAAACTTAGTTTAATTCAGTATACACATTCATCATATTATAAACTATTTTATTGATATAATTTTAAAATAATTATTAAAAAATCATCAAACTTACAAAATATATATAAAATAATAAAGATGATAGATCCGACAGTGGTGGTAAAATGATAGTTTTAATTCCTCGTTTTGTTTTATTAATATGCTTTAAAAAAATATTTATATATGAAAATTAAAATTAAAAATATTATAATTTAAATCATAAATATTAATTAATATAACAAAATTAAAAAAAATATTTGTATAATTAAATGTATATATTTATATATATAATTTTATATAAATAAATATTAATAGATTCACTAACCTATGAATTCCGACTTTATATTTCAATGAAAAACTTAATATTTTTTAGACAAAAGTGTATTCCAATTTTTCTCATGAAATAACTATAAAAATGTGAAGTTGGTGATATTTTAAGAATAATTAATGTAAAAGAAAAAATATTTTATTTGGATTTGAGTGACGTAAACACGTCATGGAGTAATGATGACGCATGTGCTGGCGTCTCCATGGACTGTTCCCACGCGCTTTTCATCTTCCTTCGCTCGTTTTATCGTCCATCATTTTAATTCCTATTATTTCCCTAAAAAATAAATAAACATATTATATGCTAAAATTGATAAATATATTTAAATACGTTTTTATTTTCCTTGTGTAAAAATATTTCGTTTATTTTTTATTTATTTTAAATTTATTTTACACTTTTTAAGTTAAAATTTTTATTAAAAATACATAAAATTTTAATAGAATTTTTTAAATAATTAAGACGAGTTAGATAGACTCCCTTAACATTAAAATATTTTTTTAAGAAATGGATGAAAATCTGAAAAAAAAATTGGAGGATTTAAGTATAATATGATTAAAAAAATTGTAAAACAAAGAGTAAAAAATAATTAGTTTATTTTTAAAAAAAATCTTTAACACTAAAGTAGGTGTGAAAAATATTATTAAATGTCACTTTCGTTACTCTTTGTTTCGGCGTCTTATCATTTTGTTTGTTATTGTTATTATTATTACAGAAGATTGTGATCATAATATATATATATATATATATATATATATATATATATATATATATTATTTTTATGATAAAATATGTGAAATTTAAAGTGAGTTAATGAAAAGTTAATAAGTGTTATTATATAATCATGGAAAATCATTACACTCCTTGATTGACAATTAAAAAAAAAAACTATTTAAAATAGAGACTGATTTCGATCCATTTGAAAACAATTAAAACAAGTGTAAAACATATGGATATTAAAATATACTTAAATATTTCAAAATTCTAATTTAAACCACTAAATATTTAAAATTTAAGCATAGTTGTTATAGAAATAAATAACTTTCAAGTAAATTTTTTTAAGAAACTTGTAGTTAAAGCGCTTAAGTTTGTTATATGTGAACGTTAGGTTATGATCAAGAAGACGTTCTTTTTTTAGTCGGAAAACAATGCAATAATTTGTGTTTTATCATCAAATGTTATCATGCACTTCACGCTGTTATAAATGATTGGACCGAAATGATAATTTGGTGCAAACCTAAACTTTGTTCCTTTCATATCAATATTATCTAGCAAAGAAAGTAGTATCTCAATCATAGCTAAAGTTAAAAAAAAAAAAAAAAAAAAAAAAAAAAAAAAACTTAAGGAAGAAAAGAATACTTTATGACATCTTTTTATATATTTTTTATATTTATTTATTTATTTATTAGAAAAACTACACTTCATATAATTATTTGAAATTAGTTTCATTTATTTCTTCTTTTTCTCATTTATGCTGATTTTAATGATAATTTTGACATTCTTTTCTGTCACCAAGCAATATTCTATCTATTTATTTTCCATAGATCAATAGTACACAATATATCTACAAATCTTTTAATTATAATTATAAACATATTATTATAAAAAATATATATAATAATAAAGAATTTTTTTAATGGTGGAAAGAATCTTATTACAATGATACATTATTAAAAAACTAATTAGGATATAAAAATTCTTTAAATTAGTAAAAAAAAAATTTATAATTTTTTTTAAAAATTTATAAAAATATTCTCATGAAATATGAAAATATCTAGTAGTGATAGTTTATTATTGCATATATGGTAATAACAATAAATATTTTTAAAATTTTTATTATTAATTTTTTGAAGAAATGTTTTATGTACATTTGGTATTATGTAACCCTTCATTGTGATGTCGTTAAATTTTGTTTGAGTGTGTTGATGTGGAAGTAATATTGAGCATACTGAAGTGAAAGTGATATGTAAGTGGACAATGCTTTTTGAGAAGAGAAATGAATGAGGAAACAAGAAAAGTCTAGAAAATAAACAGAGGAAAGAGATAGTGGGGTGAGGAAAAAATACGATGCTGTCATTAATAATTATTGAGCATTGTCATCATTAACAATTGAGGAGGAATATTTGAATTTAGGAACACAATGTCTTTGTTAGTCCTTATACGAAAGAATGAAGATCTGAAAACTTTATGTTAAATTCAAAGTTGTGTACTGACAGTGATTGTTATTACTCGTCATGATCTTCTAGTCATGAACAACTACTGTCAAATTGTAATATACTCATCATGGTAAGTTTTTTATTTCTTCTAATATTTAAAAAGTTATTTCTTTTTGCAACTTCATAGATTATGGTCTCTACCATTCTCTAATCACATTTGTGATTATTTCAAGGTAGGGTAACTCATTTGCTTGAGTGGAAGAGGTAGGATAGCAAATGAGCAAAAATAGAGTGGACAGCGATAATTTGTCACAATGAGGTTGTATTGGTGTTTTCTAATGATGCTAAGAGAAATATAGTGAGTAGTAGTGAGAGAAGTAAAGTTGTTACTTGTTAATGAAAAGTACATCATCATTTATGTTTTTGTTTATATATGGTTTAACTTATTGATATTTGGAGAAACATTAAGGGATTGAATTGCATTTTGGGATTTGTACAATGAAAATATTTGTGTGGAATGAAATATTTTTCAAGACATATTTTGTACTTAGAAACTTAAAATGTGTAAATGTTTGATGTTTTGTTCATGTTGGATAGAGAAATGACATGAATTGACCTTTCTGATAATAAATTTGATTCCAAAATTTTGTTAGATTCACTATGAAAAAATTGTTTGAAAACTGACCTTGGCAGTGAACACCATGAGATAGTGACATTTGGATGAAGAATGAGATTGAAGTTTGTTGTAATTATTTGTGTGTTTAAATTAGATGACATTTGTGCTTAATTTTTAATGTTAATATATTGTATTATGTTTTGTTAACATACCTATTATGTTTACTTTCAATGTTGAAACCTTAAAAGTAGTTATATGATTAATAAGAAATGTGATAAGAGTGTTGATTATAGTGATGATCATAGAAAAGTGTGTAAATATTTAGTATACAATTTTCTTTGTTATGATGATTGTGAATAATAACTATTTTACATGCATGGCCTTCATATTAGTGTAAGACATTTCATGGATATAAAGTTGTTAATTAATATAAATGCTAAATTAATTTAATTTTAAAGAAGGCAGATTTGGATTATGCGATTCAAAGTAGTTATGTCATTAATTGAAAATTAAAAAATGTCTAGTGTATTATCTAACAAATTAGTTAGTAGGTGGATGTTTGGTAGTTGTAGTTTTAGGATTAGGTCTAATGTTATGCAATTGACATTATTAGATGTTTATTTAGTTATGGGTTTGTCAATAGTTAGGGAGACATTATTTGTTGATATTGTTGAAGATTTTTATGTAAAACAATTATTCCAAGGGAAACAATTGAGTGTTGAAAATATAATTGCATGGTTATGTGAATGATCTGGTGAAGATGATGTTGATAAGTTTTGTAGAGTTTATATATTATATTTATTTATTGGTTTTTATTTTTCATCTTTAGGACAAACTTTCAATTTGAGTGATGTAAGATTTTAAATGATGTTGATCACTTTAGTTTATACAATTGGAGATTAACTATGTTGGTTTATATGTTGAGTGCATGCATTCATTACTTTCAAGGCACCAACCAAACTCAAATCCATATTGTTGGTTGTGTTGTTACATTATGGGTTCATGCTTCAATTTAATAGATATTAATTAATATTGATTTACAATGAAATAATTATGTATATTTATTGAAACTTATTGTATTATTTTTTTTGTAGCGTATGGTGTGGTAGGGATGAGCAATTGATCATATATCACTTTATATCTTGATAAACATTAATAGGTTTTCTCAAATTACTAGTTGTTTTGAGGTTCAAGGAATGAATAGAGATAGAAGATGTACATTTCTTTCAAACTTAGTAATATTGCATTTTTAATTTTTGATATGTTATCATATGTCATTGTTATTGAATAATGATATTTTTTTTATTCAATGTTAAATTATTCATACTGTTCAATCAAATGAGGAAGAAAAAACATATTGCAATCACAATGTTTATGACATATGTGAAATTGCACTTCAACAAAAGTTGTTAATGCATAAGAACGAAAGATTTAGAAAAAAGAATTTTTATATTAGAAATAGAGGTTAAAATTTTAACAATAATTGACAACATTTTTGAACGAAAGCAATTATGAGTCATTGAATAAAGGTTCTCTACTAGATGATGTAAACGTTGCTAGAAATTGTCTAAAAATAGAAATTTATTGGGTTGATAACATGATTAGTATGAAATTTATGCATACGTTAGTTTCATGAAAATATTTAAATTATATTAACTATTATTTGTTGATATTGTAAGTATTTTATTTTGTTTGTAAAATATTAATGGGTGATGCTTTTTACAATAATGACATGAAGAAATGTTATGTTTTTAGTCCCTGCTTCTTAGTAATATATAATTATAGTAATGTTATTTTACATCAATGATGAGTTTGATGGTGTTAATGTTGTTATATTAAAATCAGATAGGATAATATCATTAATTTGATGAAAATTTTGAATAAAGACGTTTAATTAAGTAGGGAAAGAAAACAGACTTTGACATCTTAGCTTCTAATGAAACAATACTTATTGATGACATTTTGTTTTATGAATTGGTATGTGAATTGATGTTTGAATTGATGATATTATGTTTTTGTATAGGTGTTTAAGGATTTTTTTAATAAATGATTAGGTTTTTCTTGCTTTAACTTTTTTTAACAAATATAGGTTTTGTCATATGTTGAATTTGAATCGTATAAAGTTAATTGTGTTAAACTTTTGTCGTGATACCAATACTGAGTGAAAAGAACTTGATAATATAATGGTAATATAGTAATTGAAATTTTAATAAAAATCCTACAATTAAATTCTTGTATGTTTTCATTTTAATTTCAAATATTTTTATTTTGTCTTATAGGATAACATATTCAACAAGTTGATTTCATTTTTGTTTCAAATGCTAAATCAACTATAGTATTGAGTATGAGTCGATCCCTCAAGAAACATATTTTATAATTTACTTATGATCTAGTTACTACTATAAAATATATTAAGTTGTGGGATGGTGACAAATGATGATGTGGATTAACAATGACAAATTTTGCAACGTTAAAGTTTTTCTCCTTTGTATGTTATTAATATTATTAGTATGAGTTTGAGTCTTAATCATTTTAATAATGTTTTACTACTTTTGAATTGGGTAGACCCAACTTTGAAGTTAAGTAAAGAGTACAATTATAATTTATTGTTACACTATGATAATAAAGTGAAATTAAGGCTTTTATTTGAAGTATATCTTCCTAGTGAGTTAGAATACAATAACGAGATTTTATAATAGGTTTATGTTAAAATTTTGTAAAATGAACAATCATAAATATAATGATATGACATTTTGTTACTATAATCATGTATCAAATTGTATTATTATCCGCAATACCTATTATATATTAATAATAGTTATATGTTTATGTTATATTCCTTAAGATGAAATCTATTATTGTACGAGAACAATGTTAAATAGTTGTTACTATTACAATGATTTCATACACACTTTTTATGTGTTGACACATTCCCAATGACACTTCTTGTTAGATTGTTTAAGTATAACAACCATTTCTTACAAAACATTACTATTGGAGGGAGGTGCTTTGACTTTTAACAAGTAAAAAGTGATTATCATGATTCACAAACATTTTTCGAATATGGAATTGTAAGTAGATAAATTTGTCAAATATTATGTGATATGGTAGTCGTCATTATAATTGACTTAAAACTTTCTTTCTTAATCTCATTTTAGGTGTATTATTGTTCTTAATCTCATTTTAGATGTATTATTGAATATGTTCTAATATTTTAGGGACCATTATTCTTTTCTACTATTTGTATATATGTAACTGACAATCATTTTATAGTGCTTATTTAATGATTTTAACTTCATCATTTATGTGTAACACTTATATTCACACTTGGTAACGAACATTATTGTAAAATGTGAATTTTGTGATTTAGAGATCAACTACAAAGAACTATTTGCTTCACTTTTTTATTTCATGCATCTTTGTGATTTTTCTTCTTCTCCCTTTGTTCATATATATATATATATATATATATATATATATATATATTATATTCTAATTTTATTATTTATAGGATAAATTTATTATTATTGCTTTACTAATCATAATATAAGATTAACTATTTTATCTGTATGAATCAAATCTAATTTAACCCAATTTCTTATGGATATTGAGTTTTGTTCCAAACACAAAGAATCAATAAAAGTCTGTAGCTTGATGCTCACAAAGTGTATTACATAGCTATTAGTTGTACCTAGTTCAATAAAATTGCAACAAATAAGTAATTGACATGGTTCCAAACCTTTAAATTAACATATATAGAAAAGGGAACATTGAATTAATTTCAAACCAAGAACTTTTAATATATATATTACACTTTGACATCACACGATAGTACAATATTAAACAAAAAAAACCTGTAATTTGGTTTCCTAGTACTGAATTTAGATATATCTAGTGGTCCTCTCTTACCAATGTCTCTTAATATATATATATATATATATATATATATATATATATATATATATATATATATATATATATATTCCTTTTATCTTTGATTGTAAAATTATTTCTGCTTTAGTGTAGTTAATAAGATAGAAATTATTAATATGTAATTGATTTGTATTACCAAGATTGAATTTTTTTTAATTATTCTATTTATATTTCTATATTAGAAAATTAAAACATTGACAAATATTAATTTAATTAGATTGAAATATTTTTTAATTTTATATCATCTGTTCATTTTTAGTTTGTAAAATTTAAGATTGATATTCTTTTTGTTTTTAGTTTCTATTTTTTTTTAATTTTGTAAATAATTATTAATATTAATATTAATAATAATATAAATATAAATATTATTTAAATATAAACTAACATAGTCTATTTTCTAAAAAATTTAAAAGATTTTAAAACTATAAATTTTAATAACATTTTTTTAAAATCTAACCTTATTATGAAACAGAGTGTAAGAATGTTTATCCTATCATATACATTGTTATATTTTTATTGATTTATAAATTAAGATTTGTAACTTATCTATATCTTATTATATTTTTAATTGATTTCAGAATTAAATATATTTTTATACCGTGAAGTGAACGATTTTTTATCGTTGTATAGATTTAAAAAACTAATTAAAATCCAATATTGATTAGAAATATAATTAAAATATAATATATAAATAAAATATAAATCTTATTATAAAATCGTGATAAACTTGACTCAAGTTCTAATAAAAAAATAAATATTTTAAATGTAAAATAAATTGACATAAAAAAACATATTAAATTAGTAATAATAACAACTCTTGTTTCCTGTCACTAACCACAAGCACTTTTTCAACAAACATAAATGTGTTTTACATTCAACCTTCAACCATGAAAAGAAAATTATTGTTGTTGAATTATTTTCTCTCATGTCAAGCTACTATTTGCCTAAGCTGGAAAAATTCTCATATTGTGACCCACAAGCTTTATAAAATTACATGTTGTTGTCACCCTCACTTGATTCAAATGGCCAACCCAACCCTTTGATATTTGATATATTTGTTTATCCTGCTTCACTCAGACTGAAGAAGTGAAGCCTCCTTTTTAGGTACACTTTTAGGTAAGGAAATGAAGAATGTTTAGTTGAGTAGGGACAAAGATAATTGTTTAGTATTTCATGTAACCACAAAACTTCACTTCCCAACATGCTTAGGCCTCATTGGCTTCATGGACAAAACAAAACACATTACATGCATCTAGGTATTAATTTAGTGACCTTTCTCAAAAGTCTCATTTTTTTTAGAGTGGAAGATTACAAAAATTTATAAATTTTTTTATTTTGTTTAATCAACACTCTTTTTATAGAGAATAATTGAAGGTATCTAATGAAAAACATGTCCCCATAAAAAAAAGAAAAAAGCTTTATGCAAAGGCTACAAGGCTCTCCCTTCGTTCTTTTTTTTTTCAACTCACCAAAATGCACGCCATGATTGTTTATGTCACATCTGTTGTTGCAGAATGACATTGATTCGTCGTCAACCATGCGTCACGTATGGTGCCAACAATGGTTTTCTTGATTCTGGGTCCCCATTTTGTTCGTGATTTTCTTCATCAGAACTCCATTTCCATCTCATCTTTGTGATATAATTAACTTGTTGCATTTTAATTCCTTGACTATATAAGTCATAAATTGTGGCTCTTCTTCATTTAGTCAAACACCAAGACAAAGGACTCTTAAATCTAACAAGGACTCACAAATTAACTATTTCAAAATAACCTAATTCAAGTCATTTGACTTACATAATCACATCATGCTGATAGTAAATGAAATTATAAACTAGATAATAAGTTCTATAAATCTAAAATAGTAACCATAGTATATATCATGGGAATTAAAGTCCAATCTTTGTGCTGGATTCACATGGACTTGGTCCACATGACATAACAAGAAATATTCCATTTCATAATTGACCTCATCAATTATGAGAAGACTTTTACACCATGCTCAAACAAAGAAACTATTGAGAAAGATAAGTTTGCATATTCAAGAGACTTAATTCAAAATAACATCATACGATTTACAAGAATAATAACTTATCATATTAAATTTACTTTGCTTCATATTCTTATTGATTTCAATTTCGGTTTTTAGCTACAACTTTAATATATTTAAAATGAAATATATTTTTATTATATTAAAATTAATTAATATTATATCAATAAATATATAAATTATAATTAAAAAATTAAGATAGAGGGGGACCAAAGTAATTTTTTATTTATTTTATTTTAAAGGAATGTATGGTTTCTTAATAGAATAAGGACGAAAGGTAATGTTGACCTTAAGATATATGGTACTTTATGTAATCAATACAAGAGTCAATCACAAAATAATAAATTAAAGTACCCCACCAACCATAATAAACGGAAAATCTTAATTTCATTTATATGACTTTTCAATTAACAAATTTGTAATGGTTGAATTGCGTTTTTTCTTTTAATTTAAAAAAAATACGATTTTTTTTTACAAAATAGTTTTAGATAGAATAATCAAAGTGGGAAATAAATCACCAATTTTTAATTTTATATTTATTTGTTTAGATAATACATTCTACATGAAGTTTTTTTTTGGAAGATCTTCGAGTTTTATATTAAATAATATATCATCTATTTCAACGAATTTAATCCATATTTTTTCTAATACCTATTTATCTGTATCATCTAATAAATATTTATTTGAATATTATTCATTAAAATAATTTTTTTAACTTTTTTCTAATCGTTTTTAATGAATGTTTGGATTTTGTACATTAATGAAACTTTGAATTTGGACCCATAAGGAAAAGAAAAAAAAACCTAATTTTTAGTGGATATGTTATGTTACGATTAAAAAAAAATTAAATTCATAAGTTTTATGACTGATTTTATTATTATTTTTATTTTTTTTTTATCTATCATAAAAAAAATTATAATGTTTTATTTTATTGGTAGTTCCCTATTATTATAATAGAAATTATTGGGACTCTACTAATAGTTTTTTCGTATTTGAATGATTTTAAAATGTCCGAGTTGAGACTCTGAATTGTCCGTTGCAGGCGCTGAAAAAAGAATTTCTAACGTTGAAATGTTGACACATCAGAGCCTTCGAAGAAGCTTCAATGAATGATGGATATAAATATTGTCACCTAAAAGTTAAATGAAATAAATTATTTAAAGAGATCACCATCAAAGAATGTGACATGGGTCAGAATTTATGCATATTATAAACCCTAAAAATGATAATAATATTTAATTATTATTATTATTTTAATAAATCTTCAGCCATTTACATGGGCTTATGCAAATATGTTTTCTTTGAAACACATTTGATGTTCCATTATTGCAAATAATTCAAATAATCTAAATTAAACAAAATTAGTTTTTATATATGTTAAAATCTTGTTTTACTAAGTTAACCACATAATAATTGATTACATGAAAATAAAAAAATTCATATATATAAAAAACAGTGTATTTTGTACTTTCAAATAATAAAAAATTATGATATTATCGTTATATCACAAAATAATTCATATATATATATATATATATATATATATATATATAACAAAATAAATTGATAAATAAATAGCAAATACTTTTTTGGGATCGAGAAACAAACACTTCATATATTCTCTTTACTAAATATGGAAAGAATTGAATCAATGTATACCATAAAATGAAGATCAGTAAAAAAAAGACCAAAAACCAATCATCCCATAATCTTTCTGTGATTCTTTAATAGAAAACTATAAGTTGTTATTGTTAATTCCTCCAACTCAGCTTTATGTACTAGCAACTTTGACTAAACTGATGAGAGCTAGTTGAGGAAAGAGAACAGTAGAAGGACAGAATAATGTGTCAAACTAACTCTATATTTCTCTTGTAATCTTGTATGTGTTTCTGAAACTACAGGACTGCTGAAAGTTCACTATCTACTAGAAATGAAAATTGGCTGTCTGGGAGATTCAGTCCCTCATCGCTGCATAAAGTAAAAGAAGCGAAATTATGACTTAGAAAAATTAAATTAAGTCCTATATAAAATGTGTAGCTCCAGTATGACATGGTTGGAAACTATCATCATTATGAAGGAATAGAACAAAGAAGATAAGATTAAATTCTTGACAAAATCATCAGTTTATAACATTAAGGAACAACTGATTAAAGAGGTACTAATGTTTGTGTTCAGAAGAGAGAAATAGAAAAAGTATATGATGAATTCTGTGTGTTTAGAGTAGAATAAAGTTATTCAATTTATAGGAAGAGAGCATAACTACTGCATAATTGTTACAGAATACTCAGTTTGTCTTTTTTATTTTTTTTACTAAGAACATAAATATAGAATCAATCTAATTGATGCTAATATCATCACTTGATCCTAATTTCATATCTATACAGGATTCTAACAGTTGCTCTGCTATTGAATCTTTCCATCAAGAAAACCTCTGAAATTCCTTGGATGTATTAAGGTTTCGAATCCAATTTCTTAAGAAAGAAAATCCTTTTTCTATCATAATATGTGTAATCTATAATAGATTTATTGATTGTTGTGGATAAAGAGAAAGCTAACAGTGATTATTCGTACCTGTCCTCATCAGTGTAATTGTTATCCATGTATCTGGCTTTGTCATTCAGAACATGATTGCAAGATTCAACAGGCTGGACATTGAAACGATCTGCACCAAAGAGAAAATGCAAGATAGGCATGGAGAAATGTCAAAAACTGATCATGAAAATATGCAATCCATGTTAATATAACACTACACACCATCTAAAACTGTTGATCCGTCCATGTTAAAGCCTAAATGGGGTGAAGTGGAAAAAGAATTTTGGGCCAATTGCAACTCTGCAAAACGTCTTCTCTGAAATTCAAGGGCCTCCTCTTGCTGTTCAAAGAGCAGCCTCCTAAGAAATCGAGAGTTCCTGCAACCTCTTGGAACTACAAAATCTGAGTATTAGTACAAAGGCTTCTTAAACAAAAGGAACATTATAACTGATACATGAAATGTAGGTTCCAAACTAGAGTATATCATGCTCACTTGAGGTGGGTTCAGTCTCAAAGTCTAAGTAATGTGGTGAGTGATAAGCAGGGTGCGGTTGCGGGTGTGGTTGCGGTTGCGGTTGCGGGTGATCAACTCTATGTGAGTGCTTCCTGCATCCAAATTGAAAATTACATAAAAAAAAAACATTAATGGCAAAGAGAGAATCTTGTTAAAGGTATTTCAGCCGCCACTGTCTTAAAATGTAAATACTGATTCATGGTACTAGCATCTGTCAATGTCTCATTGTACTATGTTCACATATATAGAGTAAAAGTGAACAGATGAGTTTTGATACTTCAAATAATCACCACAACTTCACATGGTTTGCTTTGTAATATCTTTGTGGAACTATAATGCCAAACAAGGTCAACATGGGATCGGGGATAGACCATGAAAAATCTTCTTGTTAGATAATGATAAGAGTTGAGTTATTCATAGCATTTATTATATCCTCTCTCTCATACAACATATCTCTGAATGACAGTTACATGGAATTCACCTGAGCATAAGTTTTGGCTTCTCCTTGTAAGGTTTCACAAGAACCCGTGATTCACAAACATAATGGGGATTTCCCTTATCCAAAATTACTTTAACAGTTTCAGGATCATCAAATGTCACAAATCCAAACATCCTTCTTTCTTGGCTTGGAATCCTTACATCTTCAACTTTTCCAAAAGTGCTACACAGGAAAACATGTTAAAGCAATTTGCATTTTCTGACACAAAGTTAAGTATATAGAAGTTTGAGACATTCATTTACCTGAAGTAGTTTGAAACATCAGCCTCGCTAAAAGTGCTGTCAGCAGGAAATGTCAGGTATATTTGACGTGAGGCACTGATGTATTTACCATAATCTACCTTTCCATTGTACTTTGGAGCATCTTCCACCAGAACAACCGAATGCTGCCCATGAGGCCTGCTAATCCACCAACACAAGAGGCAAATTGGAGTAAGAAATATTCAATGAATTTTCTACATAAGAATTCTCATGAAAAGTACAAATCCTCACCTGTCAATCAGCCGAATACTATTTTTCAACCGGGCAAGAAGCTTTGTCAAGCTGTAGCCAGACTTACCATGTCTCTGGCTCTCAGTGAGGTAGCCATCTGCTTGCAGCACCTTCTTATACTTGTCATGGTATGCCATTGGAAGTGAAGCAATTGATATAGAACCACCCTTTTTCAGTTTTAGGAGTTCAACAATTTCTGACTCTAGTTGTGCTAGTGACCCAGGTGAAATTATCTGATCATCGTTAACATTTTCATTTCCATACGTATGAGAGAATCCATCAGGGACACTCTGTCCATGATAATATCTACAGCTAGTTCCATGCTTACAAAATCCTTTATTAAAATAGTGACAGGTCTTGACAGGAAATTCAAACCTTCTACCAGTTTTTCCAGCCAAATTACCATTTGATCCATAGTAATCGTTGGCAATCCCGGTACCTGCAGTGCCCGAAGTTCCAACAGACCCTGAATTTATAATATGATTCTCACGATTGAACAATGGGGCTTGTCTTTGATGTTCTGAGATAGAATCTAAAAACCCCATTGTCATATATTCGTTATTGCTATCCCAAAGTGGAGATTGGACCTGTAAGTTTGAGGAAAATGAGGTCGGATAACTAGGTGTTCTAGCAGTTGACTTTTGAAACTTGTTTCTGTTATGCAACTCCTCATCAATTAAATGATCAGATAAACAAGCCAATTTCGCCATGTCACATTGATCTTGCACAAATCGACGTCCTAATACATTTAAAGTGTTCTCAGGAATTTTCCCTAAGACAATACCGGTTGAATATTCTGAACTATCCATAGCTGTAAGGAGTTACAACAACACTTGATCAACACTGTTGAGATAATACATATGCAGGATCAGTAAACATAATTAGAAAACTAAATGAGAATTGGATAAAAAGGAAAATGCATTTATTTATCTATCATATCTATCTCAGCACAATGAATCATCTTTGGAAAAAAGAGTTAGATAAATCTCATACAACATTAAGTTCTCCATGTTCTCCCGCAAAAGGTATGAATATGTTAGTAAGATCATGAATGCATTGTTTCCTAATTTGGAAGAGAACCCTGACAAATAACAATACCCAAAGATGTACAATAAAGAAGATAAGATCAAAGATTGATTCTTCTTTTTACATTTGAGAGAATCTTCATTAGATCAACAACCCTTACGAAAAAGAAAGGAAAACACATGAAAATAACTAACAATTAAAACTGTGGCAACCTGAAAGGGTGCAAACACAAATCTTTCAACAATCCTTTTCTCTCTCCTATATCTCTCAGATGTCAAAATTCAACATCAAGCTAGTGAGCATCACTCGCATACTAACAGTGTCAGTTCTTGTGATGACTCCAAATATATGCAAATTTCAATGTAAAGTTAGTCAGTAACACTCATTAGGACTGTCAGTTACTGTGATGACTCTTCTATATTTAGCCATAGTACCTATTCTTTTGAACAATTGTAAATATAAGCCAATTTTTTTGCTTAATTCTCGGACTATATATATATATGATAACTAAACACTTGTTAATGTTTCAGAATCACTGAACCAGACTCGTTCAAATAGGAAGCGTGTGCAAGACAGAAACGTAGATTTTTGTTGTGTTTCTATTTAGAGAAAAAATCAAAATAGGACCCAGTTGAATCTGCATCACTGAGGTGGATCTTGATACTCTGAAAGGACCCAGTTGAATCTGCATCACTGAGGTGGATCTTGATACTCTGAAACTACTTGGACAATAAAAAAGAACATTTTTGTGGTGTAACTATTTTTTCTTTGTAAGATCTTATAAAAGGAAAAGGTATTAAAATATTATAAAAGGACAATTTGTAAAAACAAATTTAAAAATATATTTTTTTGAAAAATATATTAAAAAAAATTCAAATTAAAATTTCTTTTCTCCATTAGTTAAAATTTAATGTCATAATCACATTATAGTTGTCTATGGTTTCTTGTATCAGTGCAGTGTGATAAATGGGGTCCATTTCAAAGATATTTTGTTTCTGAGATGGGTTTATCATATTCTCTAATCTTATAAAAGGAATGTGTTTTTCACATTAAATCACAATTAAATTATATATATTTTTTATTGTTTGGCTTGATGATTCATAAATATTTATATAATTTTAAAAAAATTAATTTAATAACTATTAACAAAATGAAACCGTTTTTAATAATTAAGTTTTGAAACATAATATTTAACTTCAATTTTCGGATTTGTATGAATGATGGTTTTGTTTTGCAATGATATGTGTTCTGGAATATATATATATATATATATATATATATATATATATATATATATATATATATTATTTGTATTTTTTTTCAAATATACAACTTTAATATTAAAAAGTAGATAAAATAATAATAATAAAAATAATATTAAGATGAATGAGGATAATAATAAAATAAATTAATAATAATAAATATAATATATTATTATTATTATAAAAAAATACAACTTTCAATATTCAACGTTAATATTTTTTTTATATGATTTGTTTTGAAAAAAAAAATTAATGTGAAATATGAATGTTTTATATTGAATCATATTTTATAATGTTACTTACCTAAATATTAATTTTTTTTAAATGACTTATTTCATCATGCAGTTATAATGTTTATTGAATACAATAATAGTTCTATTATTCATTAATATTGTATTTTTTTAATAAAATTTAATTTATGTGCATTTTCATGGAAGATTGCATGCTTCAGTTTAATATATTAAAATACCATCTTAACTTTTAGCACCATTCTAAACTTATTTGAAAATGGATGTGTAAAGTTATTTGGTAATTGTCATGTTTATTGGTTTCAATTTTCTATCAAAATTTTTTGTTTAATATATGTAAAATATTGCTCAAATTATAATTATTTTTTCATTCTTTTATTCTTACTTCAACATTAATACATGTTATATATTATTAAAGCTATATTTATTATATTATTAAAATAAATTTTGAAAAGAAAATATTTAATATATCATGATATTTAGAGATAACTGTGATAATTATATAGTTAATTTTTGTAGTTGAATTCTTTAATTTTAATAAAACTAATAAAGTTTGCACATTAGAATATAAAATTTTTAAATAAAAAATGAATAATCTAAATATTTATTATAGTTTTTTATTTATTTTAGTATATATTTTAATGTTTATATTTTAAAATATTATTATTTGATAAATAAATTTAATTTATGTTGAATATCTTTTTAAAATATTATTTTATAACTTAAATTTTAATCACTATTATATAAACTTTTTTTTACTCTATAATAAATCATTAAAATTATAATATAAAATTATTTATATTATAATATTTATATTATGAATTTTAATTTATAGAAAATTACAATTTTTATTAATATATTTTAATTATTTGTAAATAAATAAAAATATGGATTATATTGTTAAAAAATTTATCATAATAATTGATGAATTAATTTATAAGGTATTAAACTATAGAAATTACACTAATGACGTTATCTTGTTTTTGGTGGGAAAAAATCGATATATGAATGTGGATAGAAGAAAATTCGATGACAATGTGCTGGGAAAAATAGAAAATCTTAATCAAAAATCGAAAGAAGAAATTCGATGACCATGTGTTGGGAAAATCGAGAATCTGAATAAAAAATCGAGAGAAGAAATTCGATGACCATGTGTTAGAAAAAATCGAGAATCTTAATTGAAAGAAGATAGGAGAAATTCGATGACCATGTGTTAGGGAAAATAGAGAATCTGAATTGAAAGAAGATAAGAGAAATTCGATGAACATGATTGGGAGTAAAAAATCGATAATAAGTATTGAGTGTGAAGTTAAGTTTGAGGGAAGTCAGAAGCAGTTCAAAGTATTCGATTTCTGAAATCGAGATCGAGGGAAACAATTATCATGCACATGGGAACATGGGTAGCGGTTTCTAAACTGTTCTTAGGTGGTCAGAAGAAGTTTAAAGTACTCAATAGTTGAGGTCGAGATCGAGGGAACAATTAGTGTGCACATGGAAACATGGTAGTGGTTTCTAAACCGTAGCTGAGGTCGAGATCGAGGGAGCAGTTATCTCGTGCATGGGAACGTGGGGTAGCGGTTTCTAAACCGCTCTTAGGTGGTTATGTTTGAAGAAGGCTATAAATAAAATAAAGCGTGAAGAAGGATAGGGAATTTTCTGAGAGAGCAAACATCTATTATACAAGTCTATCGGAGAACGACGAATCATGAAGTTTCTGGCAATCTGGATTTCCAAGTTTATCAACTTTTGTTACCGCTTTCTTTACTTTCCTGATACTTTATCTTTAATGCAATTTAAATTTACCTGTACGTACTTTCATGTTATTTCAATTCATTATCATTTACACTTATGCAATTTTAGATTCTGCATTACATCTTTATCTCGATATCTTTTACTAATTCTTTGTCATTTACTCTTATGCAATTTAAACTTCTGCATTCGTCTCAATATTTTTTAATACTTTTCTTTACTTTCTCGGTAATTTATCTACTTGCAAGTTAAATTTACTTTCCTGTCCTTTCCAATTATTTCGATTACTTAGTCATTTACTCTTGTGCAATTTAATTTTATGTATTACTTTTTTGCTTCGACTTCTTTACTTCTGTTGATTTTCATATTCTCGAGTCTCTTAATAAAAAATACAAAAAAAGAACTTTCGATTTTAGTCTGTATGCTTTTTAATACGTTTTCCGTATTTCTAATATTCACACTTTGTTTCATCGATTTGGCTCGATATTTTAATATTTTCGATTTTCATATATTTTTTATTGAAAAACTCTTTGCTAGCCTAAATAAAAAGAACTTACAGTAGTTGAAATTTGATTAGAACTTAGTCTTTAGGAAATCGAAACAACAAAAAATTTTACGAGAAACACTTGTTAAAGACGACGAATGGTTGAAAAATTATCTTTGATGATATCTTACTAAATATCTAAACAGTTGTGTGTGAGTAGTTTCTATTAAAGCCAAATGATTTTATCATGTTTAAAATAAAATAATGAAAAAAAGTAAAAAGATAAAACATTTATGTTAAAACTGGATTAGTTAAATCTGTATAGATTGATTATATTAATACTTAATCAATTATATGACTCAAATTCATATTTTGATAGTAGGTGTTAATAAAATATTGTATTGTGACTCAATATTACATCTTGTACGTTGACACTATACTCTCTGATAATATTATTTACTTTTAGTTTGTCACTCCATACAAATAATCAAGCTAAAATTTGAATATATAAAACATTTTGAGAAAATCAAATTCAAAGATAAAATTGTTTGATTATAGAATTTTGTATTTGAAAGCTTAAGTGAATTCGTTATTGTCTTTTCATTTTGTAAATCTTAATTGTATATTAACGTTTGTTTGTGAGGTGAACAACATTAAGTGTAATTAACTTTAAGTGGTGTGATTTTTTTAAATCTTGATTAAGGTTTCTTCTTATTCAATATCTATATATTATGTTATAATATAAATATTAAAAGTTTACCTAAAAATTCAAGTTTAGATTATTTGAATAACTAGATATAAATGTAAAAAAATCAAAAACTACTGTTTATTGTTATGTAATTTTTTTCTTTTTTATTTTAGTATTTTTTTAAACCTTAACATGTTTTAAACTCTCTTTTAATTTGATTATAAAAAAATCATTTAATTATATTTTTAAAAAATTTACAAAATCAGTTCACCTCCTCTCTCAGTGAGTCCGATTTTACTAACATAATTGAAAAACTTAAAATTTAATCTTGAAATTCTTAGGAATATTCTGAACTATATCATGCAAAACGAAGAAGTAACACCGAGCAAAAGCAAAATGGAAACTGTATTTATTAAATGATAAAATTGTAACATGGTTTTTCCGTCTATTTATAAATTTAATTATAAAATATAATATCATATATATATAAATTATTTTTATATCAAATCAATCTTTAAAGATTATTAAAACTAACTTTAAACTTTAAATTTCATACTATCTTATACTTTTTTAAAATTAAGTCATAATTTTTTAATTTTTTTTATTAATAACTTTTTTACATGAATTTAATGTAAAATAAAAACATAATTTATAGAAAATTTTTAATTTTTTTAAAGAAAGAGTGCCCATGTAATAAAAATAAAAATAATATATTTATAATTATTTATAAAATTAAATTTGATCTACCATCATGAAATAAAATAAAAATATTTAAATTTTCTTTATTTTTATAGAATTTTTCGATAAAATAGAGATAATAAAAATAGAAATGAAATAAGTTAAAAACACATAATGGAATATTAGATTTTTAATTAAATACAAATAAATAAAAAATAATAATATTTTGTTTAAAGTGATATTATTTAATTAGTTTAATAAAAAACAGTTATTTAAATAATATTGTTTATTAGTGATATTATTTAATTAGTTTAATAAAAAGCAGTTATTTAAATAATATTGTTTATTAATAACATAGTTAATACATTAACCTAAACTCTAAATATTAATATTAAAATGTATCAAGATAAATTATAAAATGTTTTTGGAGATACATACACCACATGACTGGATCTTGACCATTGATCTTAAGGGTCAAATAATATATTATTAATAAATAATAAATAAATATAAAAAGAAGAAAGAATATGAAAGGATGAAAAGATAAGATTGTAGATATATACTTAAATATATTAAATGATCATTAAGTTTGAATGAAATAAAATCATAAATTATATGAGTAGTTACAAAACTGAAGAAAGGCTGAAGATAAAATTATAAATATACAAGTAAATATATTAAATATTATATTTAGAGAGATCAAAATCATATATTACATGAGTTATAAAACTTTGAGGCCACGGCCTCCCAAGAAGATCGGGATCACATCTAAATTATTCAATAATTATTATAATACATATATTTTATTTTAATATATATTGACTTTTGTTAGATACTTTTACCGTTATATTTTGTTATGAGTAAACATGAAATAATTACACTTAATTTTTTGTATTTTATTTAATCAATATAAAAGTTAGAACATATTTTTTTTTCCTTTTTAGTTGAGCTGATTTAACGAAAAATAAGTTGTTTATATAAAATTCTAGGCACAGATTTTTCCTTTTTATAGATCCATGGTTTAAGATTGACCGTGCAAGTTAATCAAAACCACCGGTTACCACTGGCTTAGGCGGTGCTCCACTTATTGGGTTTTCGCTACCATTCCTTTGGTACCAAAGCTTTTAATTTTTAGGGGTATCATACAAGATTCACTCCTCTTTCATCAAATTCAGCCACTTTTTCCAAATGGGTATTTCTCATCTGGTGTTTTTCATGTCTATCGCTTTCTAATATTACTAGTATTTTCTCTACATTAATTTATTAGTACTTGCAATTGCTTTGGTAGGGTATTTTGAATAATAATCATGATTTTTAATCTTTTTCCATTGAATTAGGTTTGTATTATCTGAAATAAGTCACCCGATAGATTGAATTGGAGATATGAACTCTGTTGATTGGGATCAAGAACTGAAAAAGTATCAGGATGTAATAGCTTCGGGTACCAAGAGTAGGAAAATAAAGGCCATGGTGACGTTGGCACGTTGTTCTAAGCATGCCCCTGAACATGTTTTAGCTCGCACCATACCTATTCTCACTGAAATTCTTGGTCACAATGTTTCAAATAACTCTGCTTCTTCACTTCAAGAGGCTGCTGCATATTGCTTGAAGTGCATTGCTTGCAGGGGTGGTGGTGAGTTGGCAGTTGAAATTGGTGGACATGGTGCCACTCATTCTTTGATGAGGTTGTTGCCTCATTCTGATGGAAGCATGCAGAAGGTCCTGATAAAATGTTTGCTCGTTATTGTTAGTTTTTGCAATGCAAGTAGGGCAGTTGTTGTCACCAATGGTGGGGTGGAAATGATCATTGGTTTGTTGAGTTCTTGCACCAATGATACTAGGAGGTATTTGTTGGAGATTTTGAGTGTGTTGGCATTGAGGAGGGATGTTAGGAAGGCTCTCAATAGACTAAGAGCTCTTCACTATGTTGTGGAGGCTGCTAGTTTTGGGACAATGATGTCTAGGGAAAGGGCTTGTCAAGCACTTGGGTTACTTGGAGTCACGAGACAGACTCGGCGCATACTTGTCGAATTGGGAGCAATTCCAGTGCTTGTGACATTGTTTCATGATGGAGATCACACCACGAAGCTTGTTGCTGGTAATTCTCTTGGTGTGATATCTGCTCATGTTGATTACATTAGGCTGGTTGCTGAAGCTGGGGCTATCCCTCTTTATGCTGAGCTTCTTGAAGGTCCTGATCCTTCTGGGAAAGAGATAGCTGAGGATGTGTTCTGTATATTGGCTGTTGCTGAGGCTAATGCTGTTGAAATTGCTGGTCACTTAGTGAGGATTCTGAGAGAAGGTGATGATGAAGCAAAGGCTTCTGCAGCAGATGTGATGTGGGATCTGTCGGGTTACAAACACTCAATGTCTATAGTCCGGGAATCAGGTGCGATTCCTATTCTTGTTGAGCTTTTGGAGAGTGGAAGTGAAGATGTGAAGGTGAATGTTTCTGGGGCATTTGCTCAACTTAGCTATGATGGAACTGATAGAATGGCACTTGCTGAGGCAGGGGTGATTTCAGTTCTGATTGACATGATGAATGATGTTGATGAGGTTGAGGAACTAAGGGATAATGCTGCAGAGGCTCTTGTCAATTTTTATGATGATCCATTGTATCATGATAGAGTGGCGGGTGAAATTAATATTACTTCATTCAGAAATATTCAGAATAGGTTAGTTCATATTCGGGCATCGAATGAGCATATGGCTAGATCCTTGAGAAGAATGAGTGTTGAGCAGCTCACATGGAACACAGATCTTGTATAATCAGTTTGAGGGTATCTTTTGATCTCAAAGCCTTTGCAAAACAGGCTTCACTTTCTTAAGTTTTAGGACAAGACTTAGATGCAGTACCATGAATGTTATTGGTGGTGTTGTCTAATAGGAATTGGAGTTTCATCTTAGAAATATCTGTAATAAAATATTTCATTGAGTGTCATCTCATATACATGGGGTGAAACTTCATATTTCATTAGAGAACACCACCAACGCTCAGTACCTACAACACTGTATTCTCCTAGTTTTATCAGTTTTACTCCTTGCATAGATGTATGTTGTGATGAGAATTGGGAGAAACTAGAGAACTTGACATCGTTGCTGCATATTTATAGCAGTTCACATAGACAAATATACATGAGTGAGTAGATAGTGTTCTACTTGTAGCAAAATACCTGAATTTGTTTAACTTTTCGGTGCTGTCATTCCCTTTATGAAGCTTCTAGCCTACTTGCATTTTGGCTCTGATCACCTAAATGTTTTTGTATTAGCCATTCATTTTGAATTCTCATTAGCTTCTTACTCAGCAAAGATTTTTGTTTGACGTAATGGATTAAAATATAACTCAACATTAGAAACAGGTTGGATAAATATCATGGTTCATAAAGAACATTATCCTGCCATGAAGGAGCCTACCTACAATACAGAATAAAATTACACCACACAACAATTAAAAAAGAAAAAGCAACAGAAATAACAATATCATAGGATGATTTTTTATTGTAAGGCTGTTATTGCCACCCACCCTTTAAGCCAAGCAATTTCAGTACTCATCCTACAGGATACAAGACCAGGGAAAGCCACCCCACTGGCTTGACCTGGATACACAAGAATCAGAATTTATAGTATATTAATGAAAAGGGACTCATACGTTGTGCCAATAAGTATAGTTGTAAGGAATCTGGTTACATCTCCTTGGAGTAGTTTGGAAACAAATTTTTCAGACTCCTTTTCAGCTAACTCAAGCACCTACAATCGCATTAACAATGGACAGACTTCAAGTTTCATAAGCTAAATTATCCATAAAGTAATGCAATTACAATGAAGAAAAATTCTGATGATTAAAGAAGTGAGTAACATTTCTAAAAAGAAAAGGAAATGATATACCAAATAAAGCTTACATCCAAAATCAAGTTCAAATTCCAACACCCAAACATTTCAAAGTGTAATAACCGGTTTTAGTACATTTAAACCATTATATTTATTTATTTATATTATTATATGTTATCTTATTAATTATCTTTTATCTGTTATTGTTTTGTATAATATTTTATATAGATTATTATTTTTTGGGTTATAAGTTATTATATTTTTGGGTTATTATTATTTTTTAGGTCATATATAAAGACACTTAGTCACCTTATCACTCATTTTCATATATATATTATCCTCTTGTCTAAAAAATAACTTAATCATGAGAATATCTTTTGCAGTGGGCATATTCTCTTTTCAAAGGAAGTTACTTTCAATCATTTTTGAAATCGTAACTTAGAATCTGATCTACCGATCTCTTCGGACTAATCTCATTTCCTCTTATCAATCTTCACCAGTTTGGTAAGAACATTTGGTGCACACTGTGGGTCTCCATAAAATGATCCCTGTGAACTCTTCCATTCCATGGGCTTAACCTGAAGTCAAACGATCTCAAATTCAAATGGCAAAATGGATCTTACAACCATTATCAATAGTTCTAAGAAACATATGACGAATGTCAGCAAAAAAAGAAATCATGAAAAAAATAAAAAGCCTACAACAATAGAACCACGCTAAGCTCTTGCAAATTCTAAAAGAAGTGGCTGAAGATTTGGAGTTGGTCCAAAAAAAAAAAAAATAGTAGGCGAAGCTCCAAACACTAAAAAGAAAATTGAAGGTTCTCACTAAATAATTCCGATCAAGTAGACCGAATTTTTACTTTGAGGATACTATCACATCAAATCAAGTGTAAACTTAATAATCGTTAGCACCGACCAAAAAAACACATACGACAAGTCAAGGGATAGTGCTAGACATGAACACACTAATAAATCAATTGTTGAAGTCCCACCTCAGAGCTCTTATTGAGAAATTACAGTCAAAGCCCCACCTTGGCATCATCTTACATACTCTCAACAACATACACGAAATATTAAAATACGTGAAGAGAATAACGATGATCCATTCATTCTAGAAATCATGAAAACTCATCTCCCAACTAATTGGGAACCACTCATGTTGGAAAAATATGATGGCTTAATAGCATTTAACAATGCAGGAAGCACAAATAAATTTGTATACCAATAATGTAGTAGTCCTCTGCTAAATTTTTTTCACCACGTTACGAGGATTGGTCTTACAATAGTACAACTCTCTATTATATAACTCGATTGATTCATACTACATTTAGTAGAGAGGTTTTGAGTTGTGTTCACAACCAGCAACATGCAAGAAACCACGTCAGATGTGGCTTTAGAAAGTGTGAAATAGTGTGACGGTGAATCTTTTGACAATTTCATGGAGTGATTCGTGAAAGTATAAAATTTCATACACTTGGTTGTTACCTTACACGTAATACAAGTCAATATACAATCGAGACCTTTGATTGATAATTGTTTCGCTCTTTCACCAAGATCCCATGATTTGTGTGCTCAAACAATTAATTATATTCGCATGGAGGATAATAATACTAAGTTTAAAGATAAAAAAGTTACCACAAGTTGGTTATTTTAGCCCAAGCCTCTAAAACTTTTAGGGTAACTAAGTTTGAACAATACACTTTTCTAATATACTAGTAGATAATACATCTTGCAAGAGGCTTTCAAATTGGAACTGGTGCATGCACCACTACCTCTACTATCTTTGGCTCATGTTGATACCACAAAGTACTATCATTTTCATCAAAATTATAAGCATACTACCGAATAGTGCTGACGAGTCAAAGATATAATCGAGGAACTCATTTGATTTAGTTCTCTTACACACTTCATTCACAATGACTTTAAGTTGTAAAACTTACATACAATGTCCCTTATTCGGGATTATACAAGTATAAAAATTAAACCTTAGTAAGGGTCACATGAGTATATAAATTATACCTTACTCAGGATCACATGAGTATAAAAGTTGTACCATACTTGGGGTCACACGAATATAAAAGTTGTACTCAAGATCACAAAGTATAAGAATGAAGAGATAAACGTCATTTAAAAAATCCAAGCCATGATGATATATATTAAATATAGGATTAAACTAAATTAAAAAGAAAATTGAAAATGTAAGTATAAAATGGGGTTAAGAATGAACAAAATAGTAAGGGGAGGAAGAGAAGAAGAGAAAGAGAAAAGGGGAAAGAGAGGTAGAGAGAGAAGAGAAAGAAAGAGAAGAAGAGAAGGAAAAGGAAGAAAATTTTGGTGTATTATCTATAATTAATAAGGTAAGAGAAATAGACATCTATCATTCTATTTATTTTATTCATATTATTATTAAGTGAAGTATCTCTAACCTCATTCTATTATTATTTTAGGTTTATTTTATCTCCTATTACACATTGATCATATTTTATTTATCTTCAGTTACGCACTAGTCTTATTTTATTTATTTATTTATCTCAATTTGTGCATTGATCTTTATTTATTTATCTCCAATTACGCACTGATCCTATTTTATTGATTTATGTATATCTTGTTACACACCAATTCTATTTTATTTATACATTTATCTCTAATTATGTATTAATTCTCTACTATATTTATTTATTTTATCTCTTGTTATATATTGGTCATCTTTTATTGATTTATATTTATGTTATTTAATTATTTTTTATTTTATTAAAAAAGGAATAATATTTATGAATATTTGATGATATTATAGATAAAGTTTGGATATTGATGATTAAAATGAGTAAATATCACTTAAAGAGTGATTGATTAATTTTAGATTCATTTATCTTGACTAGTTAAAAAAAATCAAATATTTATAATATAAAATAAATAGAATATGTTTATAAAGTTGAAAAGTTGATTTTGTATATCATTTTGAGATAATATTATTGTACATGATATTTGTTTTCACTTTCTTATTTTATTTTTTGTGTATGTTACAACTATAAATATCAACTTAAATAGATGAAGATGTCAAGCTATAAGACAAATATCAATGATAAATAAACTATTTTAGAGGAAAAAAATACTTGCCAATTTTAATAATATGATATAAAAACAATGTAAACTTGTAAAATTCATATTTTTACACATATAAATGTATAAACATTTATCTCATGTCTTTTGTCAAGATTTAATAGAAAATAATCATCTCTTAAAATAAAGGTAAATTAATAACTTAATAAAAAGAGTCGTCATATGAGAAAGTATCATAACAACTTTTCGTGTGTGACCTATAAAATAAGTCTATCATGAGATCTTATGAATCCTAACTTGTATAATTCTAGATGACAAATAATAGGAGGAACAATGAGTTGACAAGTGGTACAAGTTATTAGATACATGACCGCTGCATTGTTAAGGAATCAAAGGCCTGAAGGAACCAATGAATCACAAGGTTTAGTTAAATTTAGAAGAAACAAACCGCCACAATTCTTTGAAGATTATAATCTAGAAAAGGCGAAATTGTAGATTAAAAAATTAAAAAAATATTTGGAGTTATGAATTATCCTAAGAACCAAAAGGTGAGTTATATTGTGCTTATGTTAATAGGAAATGATGAATATTGGTGAGATAGTACTAGGAGATTATTAGAAGGAGGAAGAATAATAATTAGTTGGAAAGTGTTTAGAACAAAATTTTAGAAAAATATTTTCTCAATAATGTAAGGAGATAAAGTAAAGGGGTGTGAGAATGGACTTCGACCTGAATGGAAAAAAGTAGTGAGAATATTAGAAATTTTTTATTTTCCTACACTTATTCATAATTATAGAATTTTGGAAGATTTTGAAAACCATCAAATTAATAAATCAAAATATTTCGGACCCCAGACAAATAAAATGAGACAAAATGAAT